TTAGCCAGACCTCTGCCGGAATTAACATTCAGCTGGTTAAAATGCTTGCTCATTTGGAAATTTTAATATGGAACTATCAGATGCAAAATTAGATTAAAAAGGGAACTAAAGTGACAATGGAATGTTCTGAGTGTTTGAGCCAGTGTTAAGGGTGTGTGTGTGTAAGGTTTGTTTTTTGTTTTTCTGTGTTCTGGAGTATGTGAAAGGGAACTTGGAGGACTGGGGAAGGTGGACAAAGGAGATTTCTAATCTCTGTTTTTGATGCACTTTATTTTTTTAGAATCATTCTAAAATCAACCAGGTAAAAGGATAGTTGCATTTATACTGATGCACTGCTGATGACCTTAAACACCTCATATATTATGACATATGTTATTTGAGCAAGTGTCTTTATGCCAAAGACACTTCATAGCTCTGTTTGAAGTATACTTTCTAGAAAGATGCTTTATCTTATTTCTTATTTTCTGTGTCAAGAGCTGCGATATTTGTTTTAACTGTCTACAACATGGGGAAGCCACTCAGCAGACCAGACTGTTTACGTCAGAATCCCCCATGTGTAGGAAAGGGTGAGGAAGAGGAAGACCTAAATATTGAAGACTGTTATGTCCCTCAGCGGTCTATCTATGATACTGTTAGACTAAATGAACAGATAGACTCTGGTTCGAAAGGTAGCCTGTCTTCCAGACATTTTACAGATCGGACTTTACCCTACAGTCATAGAACACTGGATGTTAGTTCTCTGTGCTCTAATGGTGCCCTTACTTCTTCCAGTGTATTTGAGCTGAGAGGTCGTGAAGCTAACAAACTAGATGAAAAGATGATCTTTGATGCACTCAAACTAAACAGCGATATCATTCGAACCACAGGATTACCTAAAGCCAAATCTCACGCAGAAAAGAGGGAGCATAGACGGTCATGGCGGATGTTTGTCCCAGCCAATTTTATGGATCATGCAAACAAAAGTGAAAGCTCTTTTGTTGAACCTACTGATATGTCTGATGCTGTTACCAAGACAAGCAAGTGCAGATGGGGTACTAATTCTCTAACTTCGGAGGAGGATGACTCTGGGTTATGTAGCCCTCCAGCGGAGAGGGAAGAAAAACAGGGCATTTTGACTGGAGACCAGTCACGAATGAGAAGTTTGTCCTCTGCTGAAGATATTCACATACCAGAGCAATCCAGACCATTTTTTTCTGTGAATTCTATTAGCGAACAGAAAATCCCACTGCTTTCATGCAGAAGTGCCCACCCCGATGAAAACTTCAAAATGATTTCATATGATGTTTCTCCACTAGAGAAGGCAAAATGTGTAAATGGGCAAAGGGAAACCCATGATGAAAATTGTTGCCTGCAGAATAATTTGAAGGGGAGCACTGTTCAATGTGACCCATTAATGATGCCAAGGAATGGAGAAAGCGAGCACATTTCTAACCTTGGGGACGAGGAGATAGTGTATGAACCCGGAGAACCCCAAATCACAGCACAAAATAGGGGACCGAGGAAGGATTCTCCTCAGCATTCAGATCTCTCTTGCACAAAGCTGGGGGAAAGTGATGTAGATTGTGGTAGCATGAGTTTAGTAGAAAATGTGACGCTGTTAACACCATATGATTCAGAAGAATCCAACATTACATGTAAAGAGGAGGTGGAAGCTCCCCTTTCTGCCCAGGAGATGGAAGTGCTCCGTATGAAGTGCTCCCTGAAATTCATTCCACTAGGAAAGAAAGCAGCACCCAGAAAAACAGGGGCCCACGCAAAAATGTTGGATGCAGTCTGCAATGGCTTTCAGTTGGTTCAGGTAATTGATGGAAACGTGAAACCCTGCAATGCCAAAGTTTGTGGTCCTGTTTCAGAGTGGTCATCGTGTTTCTAATAATGACCAAATTGAGGCTTTTATTTGAGGGGCTTGACTAGCACCCTGCAAGATGCCACCTATTGATAATGTGGTCATTATATCAAATTAATTAGGGACTGTTTTTGTGAAGAATGATTATTCCCAGCTGTTGAGGGTCCTGCTATTGATTGTGCAGATGTGGCCATCCCCCTTCATTTAGAATGCTTCCACTGTGAATTTACATTAATGTTAGGCTTTTGCACAAATTGTGGTTTAAGACGCTGCAATTTAAGGGCTGTTATATTGGATTTATTAAGCTTGAACAGGCTTGGTCATGAAAGCACAAACACGGTATTATATTGTTGTGGTCTGCAAAGTACTCAATCCAAATTAAGGACTTTTTTAAATGTGCTGAAAAATTTCTCTCAGGAGCTGTGCATGTGAGAGTCAAGTTATTCTACTGTATTTTGCAGGCATAATAGCTCCTAACTCGTTGTGAGTGGTGAATGAGGTAAGAAAGTAAAGGGTGTAGCCTTGTAATAAGTAGAGGTTTGTTTGTCAAGCCTGTAATTTTTTTCTTCCCACTCAGATTGAAGTTCAGCTATTTTGGTACTTTTACTAAACTCTTCTGGTAAACTGTCTCAAAGGTTATTTCATTTTATTTTAAGCTTCTCTTCATGCTTGTGTGTTATGAGTTAGATTGGGGGGAAGTCCCACTTCATAGGTATTTTCTTCCCACTGAGAGATAAGGAATTTAGACAATATCAGAAAAGTTCCTTTTCTCAGTCTGTGAAATAACTTTCTTGTCAGCTAGGCCCTTTCTTTAGGTATGCAATAAATGCCATTACCAATTTAAAACCTTAGCAAAGTTTTTTTTTTTTTTCCTGTAGAGGATTTTTCAGTTTATTTGTGGCAAGTAACTAAATCTTAGGAGTGCATACTCTTTAGCAGCTATCTTTTGAAATCCTTCGTGTATTTTGTTTTAGCACTTCATAAAACTACCAGACTCACCTAGATCTGCTCTGATATAGACCCCTAAAATTAATTTAAAGCCAGGATCAGGGTTTGAGGCAATTGACTAGAACATTATCATGATTTTTTTGTTGTTCTGAAAACTATATGAGAGGAAGAGTAAAACTTTTCCCTGGATCTTTATTTACCATACAAGTTCCTGAAATTTAAAAGCCAATTTTCTGTACCCTCCCCTACCTTTCAGTAAGTGGTAAAACATATCGGACAGCTTAAATGAGTTACTAGAAGTTGTAACTTAGAAAGTGGTATAACAACTACCATAATACTATAAGAAAAGGATTGACAGTAGCAGGAAACTTGGGGGGGGGAAGGGGAGGAAGGTGGGATTGACAGTATTTGATATCTACCTGGGGGGGGGGCACACCTCATCAACAAGGGTACCTGCACAATGAATATTTGTATACCTAACCCTGAATTGTACCCCACAATTTTAAAATAAAAATTAAAAGAGAGAGAAAAAAAAAAAGTGGTATAGAAAAGAAATAGGATTGTAATGCCAAGTTCTGTCTTCACCACCTTGTTGCAACTTTCTGTTGACTTATTTGGTTAATTATACCTTTTGGAAAATTATGAAAACTCCTTAAAAGTGTTTTTTTTCAGTAATTTTGGGGAATCTTATAATTTGGTTATATGTAATCAATTTTTTTTTACATTTAATATTGTTATATATAAACAATATAGATTTTCTTGGAAAAAGCAGCTTGAGCTTTTAACTAAGAGACTTTAGGGCAAAATGGTCATTGGTTTGTTTGCTATTTCTTAATGTATTTATATCTACAGTAACACAGGAGTATTCTGCGTGTAAGGCCTTGGACCAGAGTCTGGAGAGTTTGTTGCCTGCAATCTCTACATCTTTCAAAGTTATTTTTCATACGGTGCCAGTAATTTTTTCTTAAGTGTTGTTTTAATATTTGCCTTTATTATGTTTGCATATATCCTGATTAACTGTACAATCCTTGGTGTGGTTATCCAGTGCCCTTCTGTCTATCGATTCAGAATCCCAAACCATGTTTTACCTTCATCTCTACCTGAAACTCTCCTTCTTTAGTTAAAATAATTGATTTTCCTCCTGGCATCCTCTATGCCCCATATTAAAAACACTTGTATTATCTATGAAAGAATTGTTGGATCTTCTCCTAGTCATATCTGTTAAGGGGTTGAGGTCATCCACCAAGCTAGAAACACAATTTTTCTATACTGATATTAATTTGGCAAATAAATATTGGGTACATATCAATGCTAGGTACCATGGTCAACCTTGGCCATAGAACTGCTATAAAGCAAACAGAAATTTCTGCTTTCATGGAACTTGCATTTTAATATAGCACATGAAATTTTTGCCAGGGCACCATAAGTTGGGTGAAATGAATACTGGGGAAAGAGTACTAGGAAGCCACTGGTGGCGCAGGCATGAATGGCAGGAACCAAAGAGTAACCAGAGTTGCTGTGCTGGGTGACATTTGTGATCAGGTTTATGGGGTGAGGTCTTCATACTTCTTGCAAAGCCAATGGCATCTTGCTAGGCACTGAGGGATGAGAGAGATTTATAGGAAACCATACTGTTGCAACACATGCCTGTGTCTTGTCATTTTTCTGTCTGTGGATTTTGGCCCTCCTGGCAAGCCGTGTATTTGGCCCTTGGCTCAGCTCCTCTTGTCCATGACTCTCCATTTCCAATTTCAGCTTCAAGCTTCAGTTGCCAGCCAGGAGAAGCAATAAGGATTCCTTGCCCGCTATAGTCCTTTCTTATCATTTTACTCCTTAGCATTTTCTGTAAATCTTTTTCTACAGTTAAATTTGGACAGTAGGAAATTTCTCATGCTGTGATAATGAAGCAATAAAGAGAGGGCTCATGTACTATCTTCTTGGTTTTATAAGTAACCTGATTAAAAGCACTTAGAATACCATTCTTTGATATTCCTAAATGCTTTTGTTATGCTATGAATTTATATTTAGTTGACTTTGTTACTGTTACTCATGAGATAGTGGTGACTTATGAATAAGCAACAAAAATTGTCTTTACCTCTGTAATAATTGATAGTTTTCACAACCTGAGGACTCATGAAGTTCTTAGTATATATTTGGTGGCTGTGAGATAATATAATTTGAATAATTATTGCTCTTTCAAATGTAGGTGTTCCAGAAAGAAGAGATCGAACCTTTGCAGGTTAAGCAGCAAGATGTAAACTGGTTAGGTCAAGGCCTTATTCAGAGTGCTGCTAAAAGCACCAGCACCCAAGGTTTGGAGCATGACCTGGAGGATGTCAATGCACGGTGGAAGACCCTCAACAAAAAGGTAATGTTATCGTCGTGTTCAGTGCCATTTTCTTTGTCCTTCATGAGCATTTATGGTGTGCATGAGTCATGTTGATAGTAGCCAAGCTTTCCTAAGCAAGTCTACTTTTTTATATTGCCATAAACTGGATGGTTCAAACCTAGGTGTCCTCTGGAACTGGGTAGGCAGCATAAATGAAAGAAGCAAGTTGGGTGAGATAGGTCCTCTCCCTGTTGTTATCTCAACTTGTTTGGAGACATGACCACAGACACAGCAGGACAGGTGTGAAGGCTGGTGTCCATGACCCATGGCATATGCACCTCTAAAGGTACAGGGATCTATCTCGTTCCAGCAGATCATTGACATGTAGGGAGGCTCACTGTTGCCAAATAGTCTATTTCCGTAATAACCTGGAAATCTCACTTTCTATGTGAACTCTTCCCATTTTCAAATGTTGGCAACTAATTTCACACTGTGTAATAATATGTCAACACTGTGCAAAAGCTATGTCTCTCTGTTAGTCCTGGAGTAAGGGTTTACCAGCCTCACCATGGACCATAAACTACAGTTAGTATTTTATTCATAAGATGTAGATCCTGCTTTTTTCTAAACTTCCATGAGGAAAAACACTACAAATAATTCCTGATATCTTAGGGAGAGAACACTAATACACAATGGCAGGTAGCTCTTCATATGACATAAATTATCAGAAAATTGTTCTGGGATGGCAGTGCATGTCCTTTGATGGTGGTGACGGTGGTGGTCGTTCTTGTTGTTTTCCTTGCATTGAAATCTTAAGCAGACGCCAGTTCTTAAAACTACATTTATCATTCTTTAAAGTCTAATTCATATTGTAGTCCTCCTTAAACACAATTGGAATGCAGTATCAGGTGTGAATATATTCCATGGTGCTTAAAATATCTTGCCAACTACCTTTTCAGTCTCAAAGGAAAAAATCTATGAGAAGGGCAATAGGATATCTCTATGTCTCTATGTAGGACACAGAGATTCCATTTACTAGCAGACAAAGGTCCTGGTTTGTCAGAAAAGGACTCCAGAGCTTAGAGCTACCAGAATTTAGTTGGATACTTTATAGCTCTTTTACCTGCAGATTCTCTTTGCTGTAATAGTTTCTTTTAATCTTGGTTTTTAAAAATCATCCCTGATATTTGTCATTAGGAAGTGAAAAATAATGATGAAAATGAAGAATGTATTCTTAGAGTAACCTTAAACTGTTTAAACCATTATTGCGAGTCATAAATGTATTAGATGTTACCAAAATCTCGAAGATACAGTCTTCAATGATGATGTGATTTGATAACCTTATCTTCTTGGCTTACGTGCTAGAGTTTGTCTCCTTTTCACTTCTCTCCTGCCCACTATCAATGCTTCGAGTGTATCTTAAGCGAAAAAGAAAAAGAAAATTTTCCCACATGGGAAAATAAACTTGGAAAGTGGTGGCCTGTGGACAAATGTCATTATTTTAAGAAACAAGTAGATCTGTTGAAATGACTGTCACTTTGCAGGTGGCCCAGCGAGCAGCCCAGCTGCAGGAGGCCCTGCTGCACTGTGGTAGGTTCCAGGACGCCCTAGAATCCCTGCTCAGCTGGATGGTGGACACCGAGGAGCTTGTGGCCAATCAGAAGCCCCCGTCGGCTGAGTTCAAAGTGGTGAAGGCCCAGATACAAGAACAAAAGGTAAGTTAGAGGTGTTTTTATATTGTGTTTGGTATTAAATCTAACAAGGAGAGTAAAAATATACTTTGTGTGACTCTCTTTATTTTTATTAATAGGATATCCTAGTTAACTGGTTATTGCTGCTCTAGAGATTATTTTGTTAGTCATTCAACAAATATTTATGGAAGATCTGTTGTAGGCCAGTCTCTTCCAGGTGCTGGGATTATATCCCTGAATTAAAAAAAATAATAAAAGTTTCAAACTGAGTTTAAAGTCTAGTGGGAAGGGAGGGGCATGAAGGAGGGACAGTTAAATAAAGTAAATAAGTGAATTGTGGTAAGCTAGCCAGTGACAGATAAGCAGGAGTAGGGGATAGGAATCAGGAAGTGACAGAGCAAGGAGACAGAAAGTGCTAGAATGGAGAAGCGTGTGTGTGTGTGTGTGTGTGTGTGTGCAATTTTAAATAGGTAGTCAAGGAAGGCTTTGTTGACAAAATGACGCAGACAAGATGACAACCTCATATGTTAGATTGATCCATATGAAATCGCCTGTTTTATAGATCAAGTGTGGGCAGTGTTTTACAGTTCAGCCTATTACTAAAGAGGAAAATAATTTGATCTGATTTGATTTGTATGTTCTGAGGAAAGTGCCACTGTGTCTTTTGACACTTGTAAAATGGAACCAAGTTGGGATTACGATCTTGAGAGGAATGATAACTGCTTGGGACCACATGTACAGCTTTTGTGACCCGATGATGGTGGTCCATTCTGAAATATTTAGTGATGCTTTCAGTAGTAGTTTGTGACCTATGACTTGAAATGACTTGTGAGAAGCATACAGCATGTTGCTAAGGTTTCTTCTGTGTGGAACTTTAGAAGAATGGAATGGCTTTTAATTATTTTTAAAATCAAATTAATTTTTTTAGTGTTTATATTTAAAAATGTTACATACATGTAAAAAATTTTAAATGGATCTGTCTGTGCCTGGCTTATTTCATTTAGCATATTTAGTAATGATGTGCTGTACATTTCAAAATTATTTAACAGTAGATTTTAAATCTCAGCATAGAAATACTAAGTAGGTAATGTGCTATATATGTTCATTAGCTTGAATTAATCATTCCACAGTTTACACGTATATCAAAACATCCCACTGTACCCCATAGATAGATACAATTATTATTAAAAATGGAAAAAAAATTCTACATTTGACCTCAAAAACTTTTTTAATTTAAAATTTATACTTAATTTCTACATTTAGTACTCTCTCAAAATTCTTTGAAAGCTTTAGCATACTGGGAAATTAGAAATAGATTTAGAGGTAAGGAGAAAGGAAACTTAATAAACACATTGCATTTGTGTGATTTTTGAGTGATATAATTGCTACCTTTCCAACTAAATTTAAAGTTAACTCTCCGAGTCAACCATGCATAGCCAACAGAACCTATTTGTTGATTTTGTTGTCTTAATTGAAACTTTGTTATTAAAACTTATTAAAAGTAACCTGCTTAATTAAGTTCTCCTTGTTGCCAAAACTGCCAGTTGTACTTTGACTATAGAGTGACTCTAACCTGTGTCAAGAGGGTTTGCGTTTCTGCCCCTTCTTTTTAAACAAGTTCCTCTCACCTCCTGCCCTGGTGGTCTTGATCTTAAAGACTTTTTACTTTTGGGTAACTGTTGAATCTTGAATCCTTAACCATCAATCAGGATCAGAGTAAGGAGGCAGTGGAGTGTGTAAAGTTTTATACACCTCGGCCTTGCCTATTGCCGTTAACACAACCTCCTTGCAGAGCAGCTGCTTACAAAAAATTGTGATTAGATTAGAGCAAGGTAACCCTGAGGTTTGGCTCCCTACAGCAAGCATCCCATTCCAGGTCTCTTGAAATGTTTAATTAGAATTAAACTGGATTTTGTTTCTGCTGCTAGATACTGAAATATTAGTCTTATTTAGCCAGCTTTGGAGATTTCTGTTATCCCCTACCCTCTCTTCCTATTGGGAATTATATTTAAAGCCTCTTTTAGATTGCATCCTCAGAAAAGATTTTAGGAGTTAGTCTCACCTAAGGTTAACCTAAGGAGCCTCTAGTGTTAACCTTGCTAACTTGAGAACTTGTTCTGAGTCTTAACTTCCTTGTCTATAATGGATTGTTTAATATGGGAAAGGATTTTGAAAGCAAACAGTCATGATTCATCGTAATGTTTTGTATCTAGACGGGCACTTTCATTTCATTATAGTAATGGAGATTTTATGTGCTATATATGTTCATTAGCACTTTTCTTCTGATTCAGGGGGGTTATCCTAAGCAGCATACTCTACTCTGATTTTTAAATATAAAAATTAACAAAGAGTTCAGTGGCCTTATCAGCGTTGTATGGCCTACCATCAAAAGCCCCCACCACAGTGTCTGGCACAACAGTAATGAATCACTAAGCAAAACGAGCTCATTTGAAAATAACATACATCCACACAAAATATATATTTTTGTGCATTCATACAGAATATATATTTTTGTCACATATCAAATATACTGAGAATATATTTTGCTTAATGTTTATATGATTTTTCCTCTGCCTTTTAAAATATTTAATATTCTGTATCAAGCTTCTCCAAAGATTGTTGGATGACCGTAAGTCTACAGTGGAGGTAATCAAACGAGAAGGAGAAAAAATTGCTGCAACAGCAGAACCCACAGATAAAGTGAAGATTTTGAAACAACTGAGTCTCTTGGACAGCAGATGGGAGGCTCTGCTTAATAAAGCTGAAGCAAGGTAACTTAAACGCTTCCAATTGTTTTGGAAGAGAAGCAGTGGCCTTAATCCTGATATTTTGTATTAGGGCATACTTTTTTCTTCACATCATTATTTTCCAATGTTTATCATATATGTGGACATAGACAGCAGAGATTTTAGTGCCACTTTCCTCATTCCTCTCGTGGTAAAGTCTTGTGATCACCAGCTATATTCCAACACTTTGTTTTAAGAAAAGCATTTCCTTTGAGGGTGATTCGTTTGTTCGTTTATTACATACTGCTTGCTTCCCATGCATCAGACACAGAGTTAAACCTTGAGTTATAGGAGTGAGCTGGGCAGATTATCTCTGCCCTCAGGTAGGGGTATAGTCTAGAAAGGTTTATAGCCATTGAAAACTAATGACAAATGGCATGCTTCAAAGTAGTAATACAGGGTGATGTGGGAATATTTTATAGGAAGAACCTACCCTGGGGGCACGTGACAGCTAAGCTGTGTTTTAACGGAGGAGTGGGAATTAGCCAGGAAGCAAGGCAGGTAGAAGCATGCTCTAACTTCATACAGGCTAGGAAATCTGGAGTCTGGCTCACTGAATGCTTCCACTCAACAATTTTCTTGTTATAAAACCTTAACCCATATTTCATTTTCTGCATGAATACCACATTGACCAGCTATAAATAGTGGCTACACTGAAAAGTAACCACCTAGGCTGGTTGGGTTGAAAATGGATGAACCACTGAACTGGTTATTGCGTTCCATAAATTCTTACATTCTCTGGAACTCAAATGGTGAAGGGATGAATTTGTCTAATCTTGAAATATGGAGTATAATTAACTGTAGTTTTAGGATATAGAATGAGATACTCCTAAGACTCAAAGTTTCATGTTATCCTTTAATATGTGTCAGCAGATTAACCCTTCAGAGTGATGCTCTAGGATGCTGTCCCCTGGTAATTTCTAAAACTCTGCTTTCTTACCGTGACTGGTCTCTTTTTCCCAAAGCCTTCCTCACAGAGGTTTTAAGTGGAGGGATATTGGTAATGGTTATGAGTCATAACCAGATTTATTGCTCACAGTGTAAATCATAGTAAATTAAGCCCTGTCACAAAATATTTATTTCCACTGATTATAGTTGATTGAATATTTGAATTTAAGGGGGAAAAAAAGAATCGTAGATAGTGATAATCCATAAGTTAAAAAATGAATATAGTAATTTTATTCATTGTTAGGATCAAACATATCAGCAGAAATGAGGTAGAGTATTTGATGCTGAATCAGATACTCTGTGTACTGACCGGTCAGCAGAATCGCTTGCCCTGGTTGAACCCTGAGGACAGTGGAAGCAGGTTCTAACTTGTGTAGGTCCTCTGCCACTGAGCAAACAATGTGTTTTCTAAAAGTATTTCAAACTACGAGTTCAAGTTCAAGGAATATTTCTCCTCTGTTCATGGTATTTTAATCCATAAAATATTAATTATTGCTTTTGGGGAAATATACCTGACAGTTTGCTTTTATAAAATAGGAATCTCTATTAAGTCCCCTAAGTGGGGGAGAGCCGGGGAAGCTATGTATGCTCTTCAATATTTTAATCCAGTTAATTAAAACCAATCTCAGCCGGGCTTGATGGCTCAGCCTGTAATCCTGCTCTTTGGGAGGCTGAGGTGAGTGAATTGCCTGAGCCCATGGGTTCGAGACCCACCTGGGCAACTTGGTGAGACCTCATCTCCACAATAAATCAAAAATTAGCCGGGCGTGGTAGCGCGTGCCTGTAGTTCCAGCTACTTGGAAGGCTGAGGCGGAAGGATCACCGGAGCCCAGCAGGTCGAGGCTGCGGTGGCTGGGAGTGGCCACTGCACTCCAGTCTGGGTGACAGAGTGAGACTCCAACCCAAAGGAAAAAAAAAAAAATCTCAGTATTTGGTCCTCCAGCTGAAATTAATATGCAAAGTAAAAAGGACCTGGCACAGAATATGTGTTCAATAAAAATGACCTGTTGTCATTATTATTGCTGCTGTTGTTATTTTAACATTGCTATTATTATTATAACTGTAATTATTGGAAGTATTAATTACAAAAGATTACTTCAGACTTTCATGAGATTCAGACACTTGAGGATAATCTTTTGTTCACCTTTAATTTTATTTAATAGAGGAATTATTTTAACATGACCATGAAATGTTAGAGATTTAAATTTAACCTTAGATGGTTTCTACAAAAAATATTTAGAATGCAGGAGTGTGACTGAAAATTTTTGTTAAATATTTCACACATTCTTCATCCCTAAATAACCTTTATTTTGGCACAATTGTAGGAACCGTCAGTTGGAAGGTATCTCAGTGGTAGCACAGCAATTTCATGAAACCTTAGAACCACTGAATGAATGGCTTACAACCATAGAAAAGAGGCTGGTGAATTCTGAACCCATAGGAACCCAAGCGTCTAAACTCGAGGAACAAATTGCACAGCACAAAGTAAGCTATAAATCCCACTTTAGTAAGATTTCGTTTTTGTGGTGTTGTTACATAAATTTGAGTTATGTACAATTGTGATGTTATGCATAATTGCAGACTAAATCCATTTCAAATGTCATGCCTTAGTTTTATTTATGTTTTCATCTTTATTTGTCCATTCTTTTTGTTTTTCTTCTTCTTTCTTTTTTTAAACTTCATTTAGGCCTTAGAAGATGACATCATCAATCACAATAAACATTTACACCAGGCTGTTAGCATTGGCCAGTCTTTAAAGGTTTTGAGCTCCAGGGAGGATAAAGATATGGTGCAGAGTAAATTAGACTTCTCTCAAGTGTGGTACATTGAGATTCAAGAGAAAAGTCACAGCAGGTCTGAGCTCCTCCAGCAGGCCTTGTGTAATGCTAAGATTTTTGGGGAAGATGAAGTTGAGCTGATGAACTGGCTGAATGAAGTGCATGACAGATTGAGCAAGCTCTCGGTCCAGGATTACAGCACTGAGGGGCTTTGGAAGCAGCAGTCTGAACTTCGGGTATTTTGATTTATTTCAGTTTATTTTATTTTATTTTGTTCATTTCAGTTGTCATTATTTTATGTCTTTCTTATTTCTGTACAATTTATGTTTATTATGATTTAGATGAATCACTATACTCAAAAAAGACTTTGTATATACTGATTACTTTTAATGAAGTTGCTTTTAAAAGGGATTGAATTTATCCAATTAAGTAGGTTTTTCATTTTTCTTTAGTTATTTTATTGTTGCATACAAAGACTCAACATTAACCCGTACTCCAGTACCTCGATGTAACCCATTTTCGTAGCGCCCTGAGTATTTTCCAAAAAGGAGAATGCTGTGAGTTCAAGTAGATGAACAGGGAATGTGGGCACAGTGGTGAAAAGAAGTGGTATAAACATGGGAACAATAAGAATATTTGAAAATGTGAGATATTCACTCAGATAAACCTCTGTGAAGCCTAATGAAAATCCTTTGAGATGAATTAATGCTAATGCTGATTGAGACTTTTCTTCTCCCACATAAAAATGGTACCTGTGTTTTTAGGTTCTGCAAGAGGACATCTTACTCAGGAAACAAAGTGTAGATCAAGCTTTACTAAATGGTTTAGAGCTGCTTAAACAAACAACAGGTGAGATCTCTTTCAAGTCAAACATGCAGTCAGCATTTTACATTGTTTTCAAAATATTTCAGGAATGGGGAAAACGTCAAAACACTTTATAATTTTTGGGCCATTCCAAGACTTATCCTGGAGAACACTTTGAAGGCCAACCAAGCAGGGGTTTAGAATATGATCTCACTTTTTTCTCATGATCTCACTTGAGTTCTTGATGGAAGGTGGATGTATTACTCATAAAGTGCTTTGGCACAGGAGCTAGTCAGAGAAGCCCAGGGCAAAGTTACACTAGTTTTCCACTTGTGGAAGGCAGATGAACACATAGGTTGTAGACAGTTTTTTTCTGTTTGTTTTTAAGATGGGTTGTGTTGCAGTGACACACATTATGGCTATCCGTAGGCTTCATTTCTTCTTGCTTGAATCACTAAACAAACAGATACTTGGTGTAATATGTATATGAAGAAATTTTAGAGCAACTCAGAGAAACTAACTCATTTTAGTGATTCCTTTGGTCATAGGACTTTCATTATCCCTACATCCAGTTCAGCAATCTGTATGTGGTAGGGGCAGGTACTATTCATTCTGAGTTGTAGAAATTCAGTACAAAATCAAGAGCCTGGAGCTAGAAGTCTGATGCCCAGGACACAGTGTCTCTGTGTGTCTTAAAATGAGGTAGAGGCAGTGACTAATGATAAGTAACTAAGAGCAGAGAGGTTACATATCTTGCCCAAAGTCACCCAGCTCTTAAGCCATGCATGAAGTGTCGGACCTCAGGTTGTTTTTAATCCCTCTGCTTCGAAAATGAAAGCTTTATGTAGGTAGAGGCAAAAGTGCTGCTTTCCCCATAACTCTACAGAAATTTAGCTCTTTTTAGTTTTCCATTTGTATTTTCAGAGTGATTTAGATTTGCCTGAAATTCTGGGAAAAATTAAAGCCTAGTAAAGGACTTCTCTTGAGTCAGATTATCTTAAGAAAAACATATCCTTTTTTCCCTGAGAAAATCTCATCAGTGTTCCATAATATCTGATGAACACCCATCCCCAACCCCCTTTTTTCTTTCATAAGAATGTTATAGTGGGATTGGCAGTAGTGGGAAACTGCCCGGGGAATGGGGGGTACACCTCATCAACAAAGGTACCTGCATAATGAACATTTGTATGTCTAGCCCTGAATTGTACCCCACATCTTTAAAATTAAAATTTTTTTTAAAAATTCTACTTATAGAGCCTAAAAAAAAAGTTATAACATGCCTTTGAAATTTTAGGTGATGAAGTGTTAATAATTCAAGATAAATTGGAGGCCATTAAAGCCAGGTACAGAGACATCACTAAGTTGAGCACTGATGTAGCCAAGACCCTGGAACAGGCGCTGGAGCTTGCCCGACGGCTGCATTCCACACATGAAGAGCTGTGTGCCTGGCTGGACAGAGTGGAGGGGGAACTGCTTTCCTATGAGACTCAGGTCCTGAAAGGAGAAGCAGCAAGCCACGCACACATGCGACAAAAAGTATGCTCTCATTTATGTATTTGGAATCCGTGTGTGATCTTTTAGGGGAGTCTTATTCACACAGGAAGGGAATGGATTTCTGTGTGTCTTCTATCATTACATATGCTGAAGCATGCCTTGGTGGGTGGGGACCCAGCCCAAATTGGCAGCAAATCTACTGTTTAAACTTCTAGGAGCCTGGAGATGAAAACAGTATATTATTATTTGTTTCAAGAGGCTTATACTTGGGAGTATAGTTTATTATACAAGAAACAGAATGATGAAAACAAAGGAAATGATTATTGTTGCAGAGACGCGTCAGTGGGTTGGAATAGCTATTTCTGTAAGATAGCATGGGGTAGATTTTCTAATTATATGACAAAAGTAGTTCGTATACTGCCATGCTAATCATTCTTACTTCCAGAGCTATCAGCCTCTGTTTTCATCATCCCTAAAGTATGATCACATGTGGGTGAAGGAGAGTCAGGCAGGTCAGGCTCACTGAGCCTTTAATGATTCCATTGGCATGATTTAAAGCCAGTATGTCTTCATTTTGAAGGTCACTTAATTCTGGCCTGGAATATCCTTACTTTTCTTTTCTGTTACCTGATTACTCAGAGGTTCCCAGAAGGCAAAGAACAATACATGTTAATTTGCCTGGTTTTCTTTCCCAAATTTACATATTTATGTGAGGTTTCAAAGATAAAATCCTGCCATGTCGACAAATGGATTGTTCTTTGAACTTCTGAGGAAGCACTTTCCTTTTTGAAAAATGGCCTCAAATGACAAAAGTTTATTTAACTCAACTGAAACTATGGATAGGGGGGTGGGGGTCAATGCATCACATTATTGGTCTGCAAAGGACTTTAGCCCCAAGAACAGTTAAAGGAAAAGCCTGTTCAAACTCTTAAGTGTTACTCACAGATTTGTATGTTTTCAGGAACTGAAAAAGGAAGCTAAGAACAACAAAGCCATACTGGACTCCCTTAATGAAGTGAGCAGTGCTTTACTGGAACTGGTACCATGGAGGGCAAGAGAGGGGCTTGAGAAAATGGTGGCTGAGGACAATGAGCGCTACCGATTAGTGAGCGACACCATCACTAAGAAGGTGGAGGAGATCGATGCCGCCATTCTGAGATCACAGCAGGTAGGGACAAGTGGGTTGTTGTCTAGGCAATAAATTTCCTCCAGCTGTTCCCAGAGCCTTTACCTGAACAAAGATGCCTGTTAATAGTGTTTCCGTTCATTTGTTGTGCTTTAGAAATGAAAGGGTGGATTTGAAAAGAATTTGACTGGGCTCCTTGGCTGTCTGAGTACCAGGGCAAGGCTAATCTGTACATTGTTAGCAGCCATCTGCCTTATTGTTTCTCAGTTTTATCCTCACCCAGTCAGACTCTGGGAAGATCAGCCCTGCTTTCCACACAGAAAGCTTTGGTCCACATACATGCATATCTCTGATATTAATTTCATGCCTTGACTAAATCTAATCTGTGTGTGAGTAAATGTTGGGAGTTATGCAAAGCAGTATTAACCATTCATTTACAGAAAGCTACAGCAAAGAGAAAGCATTCTTTTTAAAAAGGAAATGCTTTTGTTGGTAATGTGGAGTTTTTTCCCAAGACGACGGAAGGGGGGAGAAATGATAGTTTCTGACCTATCTGCCCCTCATGAAGAGTTTTATAGGTACCCAACCCTTAACCACAGGTCTATTAGAATACTGTGGGCAATGAGTGGGGTCCTGAAACTTGAAGGTGATAATACTTGTTTTGATTAACTTTTGTTGAAATCTCTGTGAATATTTATATTAAATCATCAGACTTACTACAAACTTGGTGTGTGGGGGTACTACAACATGACAGGGCACTTTGGAGGAGTGCTTGGGAAGGTGTATGACTAAGCTCTTACTAGAATAGGCCAAAAGCGAGAAGCATAAATCAAGTGGATTCTGTGGGAGCGTCCAAAATTAATTTTCTAATGTTGCCATAAAAGTGTAATTTATATAGTCCTAAAGCACAGTGTTTCACTCCTCATTTTAGTGCTACGCCCTAGAATCACAAGAGCTGATGAAATACAATGATAGCAAAAGCCCTGCCTTAAAAATTTTTGTGAGGGAGGGCATTCATGCTTGAGGAATGTGTTTTTGTATGCCTGTTTTTCAAGTATGGAGGAATTTGTGTGCCTCATTATTATAGGAAATAAGTACGTTTATTGTGAAACTTATTCAACTGTTTAAAAATACTGAATTTTTTGCTGAAATTAATTTGAACTTTTCATAACTGCCCCTGGAGACCTCTTTAAATAGCACAACAAATATTCTGTACTCTCGGGAGTAAGAGTGTCTTGAGAAGTTGACTGTAATTGGTTAGGTCAGTAAAGTGAGACAGTAATAAAGGCAAGGTCACAGGTTAAGTTTTTATTGATTAGTAAGCTCTGATGGGTGCCAAAATAATTAACTGTTGCCCAGTTCTAATCAAAGCTTTGCAGATGCTTTCCAAAGTGTGGTGGCAGGGGCGGGGAGTAATACAGTCAGTTAAAACTCCTAGAACCCAAAACATTTATCCTTTTGGTAAATAATGGTTTGAGGTTTTTTCTTGATAAAATCATTCCCTATAGAAAATTTCAAGATTTTTCTGAAAGAGTATAGAAAAAAAACATGAAAGAATATATAGGCAATTTGGTCTATATCCTTCCAGCCTTTTAAGAGAGAGAGAGAGAATACTTTCAATTAGCGACTTGAGTACCAGCTAGTATTAATGCCATTAATATCTTCTGGTTGTTCCTGTGTGTATTTATATCTTCCTTTCTTTGAAATACCTGCAAGTCTGTCCAGTGAAATCCTCCAGTAAGGCTAAACAGACACTCAGATGTTTAGAGCTGGGGAGACCATGCATGGTGCATATATGTGGTGAAACCACTTGCCTGTGGTACCATAGCCAGTAAGTGGCAGAGTTGCAACTAGAATTTAGTCCAGATCTCATTCTTTCTACCTCACTGCTATACCTCCTTATAAATTACATAGGAAAAACCCTGAGGGGTGATCCATTTTTTTCTAACCTACTTCAATAATATGACAGAAGATGCCATTATTACAGCAAATAGAAGTATATAATAGAAATATGTCTAGCTGTGGGGACCATGAAACATGAGAAAGCAACACTAAAAGAATCATGAAATGTCACTGGGCAGGCAAGTCTGAGAATAGAGTAGAAGATGTCTGTCTTTCTGGTGTGGCAGAGATTCTTCACTTAAAGATATGTTTTTAAACTCATAACTGTCAGGTTTATGAAGGAGCTTATCTATCACTGAAATTCTCTTCTAAGCTTGCCTGCTTTGTAGATGTTTAGAATTAGGACCACAGTACAGTTTGATAATAAAAATGCATATTTTCTGTTTTGCCCAATAATAATTCATGCATGAGATATAAAAAGGAATGATGAAAAAATTATCTTTAGACCTGGGTGTTAGCCATGTATTTTGTACTATCTGTTTCACGTTGTATAAACAAATTATCTACCATTTTGTATCTCTTCTCCAAATGAAATATGGACATGACCTGACCTCGGTTCATCTTCTCAGACACCATTAGTCACAATCAATTTGTTTTATTAATAGCAACTCTTTCCCAGACCTCTACCCCCCAACATCCTCACACCCACAAGAGATGTGGTAAGGATGGGTGCCTTGGACAATGCTTGGTAATTATTAAATTTATAAATTTAAGCTTCGTCCCTGAATGACCTGGCTAAGTTAAACTAGGTTTTAAATGACTAAATATTATGTTTTCAAACAGATTTATCTTCCATATTTCCGATTTTGCCCAGCATTGGGGTCGCTTTTATATAGATAAACCCCATTCTTAATGTTGTAACCCGCTTTTTGGAATTTAACAAAAACTTAAGCACTTGTGAACTGTCAAGCCACTGTCACAACATAGCGACTAGCAAACATCAACATGAAAGATGTCAAGAAAAGCATGGAAAAGCATTAAACTTTGAGGGAAGAGAGGGGAACATATAGATTGTTAGGTCAGACCCACTGGTGGGGCATCTCTGTAATCCAGTGGTGTACAAAAGATGCAAAGAATTGTGCAGAAGTTAGATTGGAAAACATAGTTTATTTAGAAAGTAGGAGAGGGGACCAAAGCTAGGAGACATGGCAACCATATATAGCTCAAGGATCCACATGGCCAGACTGTAGCTTAACAAAGCAATGAATGACTGCTTGAAGTTAAGTGCTTTTAAACCTTTCCTTTGATGGGGGCAGGTTATTAAGGTGACTGAGTGGTCTTTTTCACATCATCATGAAGGGGATAGGTAAGCACAGGTACTGATGTCAGGTGATGGTCAGCAGGTAGATGGGTGGGTCAGTCACATGGCTGTTGCCATGTTGATGTGGTGGGTGTCAATATGGTCACAAAGGGCTGATGGGTTAACTTGTTTACATAACAACTGGGAAGGGGGTTGTAAGACAATTATCAATAGCTACCTCTGAGAAACTGGTTCAGTCCTTAGTTAGTGATTAGAGGATAAATTAAAGTGAACTGCTGGAAAAACATGACAGCACTTGGCAGTGTTAAAATGGCTGCTCATTGGGTATGTCAACTCCATCTTGTTCCTTTTATAGCTATCTTCTAATTCGCATATACTTTGTAACCAACTTGTATAAATTTAGTTTTTACCAAAATTCTGATTTGACGTGGTTAGATTTTCATGTCAATCCTATATCACAACAGCTTTGAAAAGATACGCCATTGAATTGAGATACCATAAATGTGAGGGCCCTATCTGTTATTATTTGGAAAATAATTGAAGTGTCAATTAGGGGTGAATGAGTGAGGACTATATGCTGTTGGTGCTACTATCCAACAATCCCCTCCTTCTGCCTCTTCCAGATTTGCAGGCATTAATATTCTGAAAGTGATACTCTTTTTTTAAGAAGAATTGGGTCCATTCATTACTTTTAAAGAATCTGGGTGGGACAAGGCAGCTTAGTAAAGTGATGTTGAGCAAAACTGCCTCTCTTTCACAACGCATGCTATTTTCTGAGTTGGAAACTGTACATAGTTTTGCATTTTAAACATACACAGAGTAGACTATCTGTGGCTTTCTTTCTATGAGTCCTGTGAAATTGGGGAAAGGCACTTTTGCTTAAAAGATGTATAGGCTTGCATGTTTGTTTAAACCTCAGAGGAGTTCATCATCCTTTGCCTCTTATAAATGTACAATGGTCAGAAGTTGTTAAAATACACGTATCTTCTTGGGCCTGGGAATCCCAAGCTCTCTTTGGCTGTTCTAATTGTTTGGCTTATGTAAATGGACCCCTAATGACCCTGTTATAAAGGCCCATGGGTTGGTGGTTTGGGTGCAATTAAAACAGTTTGTTGGGTCATGAAGCGTCAGCCTGGAGAAAAATACCACCTGTTTACTTCTTCTAAAGAACCAGAAGGAAACATCCCCTACGGAAATGAGATTTGTTTAGACCTTCCAGGTGTTGGGGGTGGGAAAATATGGGCTGTGTGATAAATAATGAGAAGGAAGTAGAAGGAAATGCTAATCAAAAGGGAGTGATAAGATCCCCAGTCAAGGGAAGGGAGTGAAAAGGATGTCCTTGAGGCTAAGGTTTGCTTTTCACTTTGTCTTAGACCTCTCCTTCCACTCAAGGAAAACTTCCTGGATAAGTACAAAAGCAATTTGTCAGAGATCAGAGAAATGTTTAAATATCCAGTTAAGACCTGTTACTTATTGACCGCTGTGATATTTGAGCCATTTTTGGTGAAATCACTAATATTTTGAATTCATGAAGCCCAAGCCATGTACAAGCACCAGCAATAAAACGTGGCAAGAAAGAGTGCAGTTCTGGAGTCAGAACACCTTGGTTAGAATCTGAGTTCCAGCATTTATAAGTTGGGTAATCTTTTTTTTCTTTTCTTTCTTTTTGAGTTGAAGTCTCACTGTGTCACCTAGGCTGGAGTGCAGTGGCACACTCACGGCCACCCCAGTGTCAACCCGCTGGGCTCCAGAGATCCTTCTGCCTCAGCCTTTCAAGTAGCCAGAACTATAGGTGCGCGCTACCATGCCTGGCTAATTTTTGATTTATTGAAGAGACGAGGTCTTGCCAAGTTGCCCAGGCTGGTCTCGAACCCGCAGTCTCAGGCAGTCCCCTAACCTCGGCCTCCCAAAGTGCTGGGATTGCAGACTGAGCCACTGAACCTGGCCAAGTTGGGTAATCTTTAGTAAGTTAGTTTAACTTTCCTTTGCCTCCTTTTTCTCAGTTGTAAATAGAGTTAATGGTAATACCCACATTATACAGTTGTCAAGAATGAAGGAGATATTGTGTGTCAAGCACTTAGAGCAATGCATTCAGTAGGATTCTGGCTATTACTATTTTTAAGAGTGTTTCTCGGGAATATTTAGAGATAATCACTTAAAATGTCTTGCTCTAACTTTTAGGCAATTCCTAATATACTAGTTGAATTGTAATAGGAATTACAATAGCTGGGTCACTGGGTAGACTCCACCATGCCACCTACTGAAATGTTTCCCCAAATGCATTTATGGATGCCAAGATGATCAACAATTTATTTGGAAATTTATTTTTGCCTTTGTATGAGCAGTAAACAAATTTATCAAAATGTATTCTATTTTGCTCTCCATGTTGCTCACATGTAAAATGAACCATTTTTGAAGTCTATTAGAAATATACACGTTAAGCAGTCATCTGAATGAGTCATAGACCTAAAATGCCTTCCCTTCCTATAAATTGCTGAATGTAGACCCGTTGACTATTCCATTGGCTGCCTAACAATAAATATTTGCTAATTTAATAAAAAAATTCTCAAATGACAGAAGGGAAATTTCTGCTGGAAGTCTTGTTTTCTTTTAGCAGAGCAAATATTTGACTAGGTCATAGAAACATTGTTTGAGTTTCAGCTTTCCATCTTGGCAACTCAGATGGTATCATCATACAGTTTTTTATTGGATACTTTTTTTTAAGGGGGGAGACATAGTGTTAAACTAATATTAACACTTAGCAGCCTGACTTATTTTGGGTTGTCATATAAATATTGTCATACTTTTAACATCCTAGGTACAAACAAGGAGAGTGGTATGTTACTTTATTTTTTTAGAGACCAGTAGAAGAAAAAAAAAATTAATGACTGTTAAATTTTTTTCAGATGTCTTGCCACACTTATACCCAGGTGGGAAGGCCTAGACTGTTTTGTTTTTTGTTTTTTCAGTCTTATACTCTTTAAGTGAATTACATAATCAAATTCTCCTCACAACTTTATTATATATGCCTTGGAAACTAATAATCCACATAAAAGACTCTTTCACTTCTTTTTTATGGGGATTCTTTCCCTGCACCTGAAGCTGCTGAATTAATTGATTAAATTTTTTTCTTTTTTTCATATTATTCAATAATTGCTAATGAATAGCTCCACTTGAAATTAGATACACCATAAAAATTAGTAAACCAGATTAAGATAGATTTTTTAAATAGTTTATTGTCTTCCTTATAATTAAGAAAAGTATACAAATATCAAAAAATAAATTATGCCTCTTGTTGATGACGGCACAACAAAACATTGCTTGTGGGAGTATAAATTAATGCATCTTATCAGAAGGGCAGTTTGCCAGTAAATATCTTAAAGGAAAAACATAAACAGGAACTTAAAGGTAAGAGGTTGCCCACAGAATTGTTTTTCTTTTTTTTCTTGCTTTAAGATATTGTAGATTCACATGAAGTTATAAAAGATAATACAGAGAGATCCCATTGTACACTCTACTCAGTTTTCTCAAAAGTAGTATCTTTATAGAAAATGTCACAAGCAGGATATTGACATTGATACACTTGAGATACAGAACTTTTCCCTCAACACAAGGGTCCTTTGTGCTGTCCTGAGAGCCACTCCTCTTCCCTAACCTCAATGCCCTCCTAACTCCTGTCAAGCACAAATCTATTCTTCATTTCTATTAATTTTATCATTTCAAGAATGTTCAAGTACTTTTTCAGCCACAACTTCTTTCTCTTCTCCTTCTGAAACTTTGATACATGAATATTAGATCTTTTATTGTAATTCCACAGGTACCTGAGGCTCTGTTGATTTTTTTTTCCCCCAGTCTATTTTCTAGTATTCAGGTTAGGTGATTTCTATTTCTAAGTGGTAATTTCTTCTGCCTCATTGATTACTTCCTCTTTCCCCTTTATTTAGCTCATCCACTGAGATTTTAATTGTTATATTTTTCTATTCTGAGTTTTTATTTGCTGCTTCTTTATGCTCTATATTCCATTTAATTCTGAAATGTTCTGTTTCCTTGCTGAGGTCTTTTAATTTTTCATTTGTTTCAAATGTCAACATCCAAAAATACTCATGGAAGCATTTTTATCATGGCAGTTTTAAAATCTTTGTCAGATAATTCTAGCATCTCTGCCATACAAATATTGGCATCTATTTGATTATCTTTTTATTCAGTTTGAGATCTTCCTAGTTCTTTGTGATGTTACGAGTTTGGGATCTTAAACGTTCTGTTTAACTGCCTTCCTCTGGTACCACTCCAGCAGCAGAAGCTGGGGGTACTTCCAGATAAAGGTAGAAGTCCAGGTTCTCCCCTCAACCTCTATTGAAAGCTAGGATGCATTCTTATTTCTGCTGGGTGGGAGTGGGACTTCCAGCTCCCCATGTAGTCTCTGTTGATACCACAGTGAGGGTGTCAGACACTGGATGATGATGGAAATCTCGACTCTCCACCAGGCCTTCTCTGACGTCACCCCAGAGGAGAGAAGGAGGAGCACCTCATTATTGCTTGGTGGGTGTGGAAGTCCAAGCTTCCCTCATGGTCTCCACTGACACTGTGGTCTGGGCCTTGCTTTTGACCAGCGGGGATGAAAGTTCCAGTTCCCTCCTTGACTTTCTCTAATATCACTCCAGCAAAGATGTTGAGGACCTTGTCATAGCCTAACGAGGGTAGAAGTCTAGGCCCCTCATTAGTCCTTTCTTGGCATGAGTACAGGAGAGGCAATGATTTCTTCTGTGGTGTTTGGTTGGAATAAATTGGTTCTTGTCTAAAATTTTTCTGTCTTGCCAGGCCACTCCTTTCCTGATTCTTTGGCTAGAGAGCAGGCTTGTCTTGGGACTTGTCTATGCCCATTAGTGTTTTGGGGTTGCCAGTTTCTCCAGTATCCAGATTTGTATAGGTGAAGCAAAAAGAAAAAAATCTAGCAAACTCACCACCATGTTGCTCCTTGGGCCCAAGTTCCACAGTAGTTCCGCCCTCTTCTTTCCACTTTTCAGAGTCTTCTTATGTATGTTTTGTATGTAATGTGCAGGACTTTTTAGGCATACTTATGAGAAGCAGAGAAAAGCTGATCTGCTGCATCTTCCCATGAGTTGGCATAGAGTTGCCTAGGGTTTTAAAAGTATGTTTTTAAATCTAGTTTTGTATTTCCATTCATCTTTGCCCTCACCTAGCTATTCTCCTATTCTCATCTGAGATTCCAGCTGCTTTTGAAAAGTTAGATGATGTAGTAGTACTGGACTTGAATTCCCATAGTCTCCAGTCCCCATCAATTCTTCCAGCTGAGGCAATTGTTAGTTATCATTTATCGTTGGTTCCTGTGGTATATCACATGCCCACTTTATTCATTTAAAGATAACTGCTTGGCCCTTAAAGGCATTAGGGTTTATCTGATATAAGGCATTGAAAATGCTTATGCTCTTTAACTTGCTAGTCACTACTAGGAATCTACACTGAAGGACTAATTAAAAATTTATGTAAAAGGATCTTCGTTACAGGGTTGTTTGTATAATAGTGTTGTTTGTAAAAATGCAGAGCACCTAAAGGAAAATATCCAGGCATGCTAGAATGTAATGTTATTTAAAAATCACATTTAAAAGAATATGACATGGAAAATGTTCATAATAAAAGAAAAAAGCAAGATATAAAACTGTTTGTACAGTATTATCCCCCTTTACAAATCTTTCTCAGCTTCTGGAAGATCATTCACTAAAATACCCACAGTATTAACTCCGGGTTTTAATTTTCTTCTGTATGTTTTTCTGTGCTTTATGAGTTTCTGCTGTGCTCATGAATTACTACTATGATCAGGAACATAAAATCTCTTAAAATAGTCAAGAATGGACTTAAAAATCTTTTTTGCCATTATTAAATGAGATGTTTAAAAATTACATATGAGTCATTTGGGGTAATCTCTGCATATATAGAGATGTATTTACACATACCTTTAATGCATACATAATAGTATAATAAATAAATGGGAATATTCTGTTCGCTTTGTTAGGAATCATGTACGTTGATAGCAGAATGCAGTCTGCATATCATGAGTTGAGATGATGGGTGGAATGAAAAGATGGTATCTAGCTATTAGTCTTCATAGCTGTTACATTTGGATTATATTCCTGAGGAGCAAAGCATTAACACTCTCAGAAGAAGAAGGCAACATGGCTAGATGTCCTGAAATCATTACTGTGGTGTTATGGATTCAACATGTTTTAATAGCTTGTATTTAATTACTCTGTGGAAAGTTCTCCTTTTTTTTTTATAACTCAGTCATTATCATGAATTATTGTAGGATGCCATAAAAAGATAAACTCATATTTTCCACTTGTATAATAAGAATATTTAAAAGAAATGTAGATAGGTATTTTTCTGGCATCAGTTACAGGAACTTGCTGACCTACTCATTTTATCTTTTGTTTAGTTTGACCAGGCAGCTGATGCTGAGTTATCCTGGATTACTGAAACAGAAAAGAAGTTGATGTCTCTGGGCGACATCAGGCTTGAGCAAGACCAGACTTCTGCTCAGCTGCAGGTTCAAAAGGTGGAGAAGTACATTTCCAATCGCCATCTAAATTATTTGCTGTTGTGCTCCAAGTCTATTAAATGTGCCTGCATGATTTACTTTTTAAGACCCCTGTAGTGTAACTTGGTATTTTTAACTACTTCACCTAATTATTTTCATTTTAGTCATATGCTTTCTTTTTATACTTTTTTTCCTTCATTTTGGTAAATCACAGACATTCACCATGGAGATTTTGAGACACAAGGATATTATTGATGAACTTGTTAAATCTGGGCATAAAATCATGACTGCATGCAGCGAAGAGGAAAAGCAATCAATGAAGGTATAAACTTGGCTGCATGTGTTGGGCTTTCAGTCCTAGAAAAGCACTTTTCCTGTATCCACAGCCACTATTTAAGCAGTAAAAGTCATTAGTTTCAAATAAGGCATTTTTCAAGCTTACAGATAGCAGTGAAAGTACAGTCCACAAAGGAATCACCAGGAGGACAATCTTTTTTAATAGGCATAAAGACTACTGAGGTTTGAGTCCCTAGTTAACTGACACACTTGAAGCATTCAACTAATGCTGGGTGTATTATTATCATTATGATCAGTATAAATTATTCTTTTATTGTTTTCAGATATGTCAACTGTTATTTAAATGCTTCAGGGACATTTGGGCCTCTTGAGCTGAAACAAAAACCAAGATATGTGGTACTCTCTAATGCTGAAATCCATTTTGTATGAAGTTACAGTACGCTATATAGGGAAGAAATGAGCATCTAGTTTGTGTAGCGTATTTTTTTTTTTTTTTTTTTTAGCCAAAGTCTCACATTATCACCCAGGCTGGAATGCAGTGGCACGCTCACAGCCACTTCAGCTTTGACCTACTGGGCTCAGGCGATCCTTCCGCCAAGTAGCAGGAACTAGTTAGGCGTGCACTACCACACCCAGCTCCTTCTTTTGATTTATTGTGGAGACAAGGTCTCACCAATTTGCCCAGGCTGGTCTCGAATCCCTGAGCTCAGGCAGTCCTCTCACCTCGACCTCCCAAAGTGCTGGGATTACAGGCTTGAGCCATCGTACCCGGTGCTGTTTGTGTAGTTTTAATGATTCTTTACATTGGGAGAAAACCAGCCACAAGCAAACTATTTTTTATATATATATATATGCCTAAATTACATTTTAAAGAGTATGCATTGCCTTTAAGATATACCATAGATAAAATAACAGGATTTACAATATAATATGTTCTCTTTTATTTATATCTACAATGGCAATTTGCTTGTTTATAACAGAATCCTTATCGTTTTTGTAAAGAATATGACATGAAAAATACAGATTGCTATGAAGTAATTGTTTTGTTATTCTGTGGTTTATTGGGTTACTATTATGCTTTATCTTCTGCTATTAATTTTTGCTGTGAATTTATATCATAATCCAGATCACAGTGACCACCCCATTAAGTTAATGTGTAGCACAATGCTCTAGTTTGATTCTAATATATATCATTAATTTGTTGACTAGTAATTCTTACAATCTCAGTTGCAAAAGGTAGTCTTTTTCTTTTTCCAGAACATAAGGTAAATGTTGCTAGAATCATATTAGACTTGTTTTCTAATTCAAGGGTATTGTAAGAATGACTGGAAAATTTTGCTTATTGTGTTTGGAGAGTTTAGTGTCTTATTCATAAAAACTTGAGGTTCTTTCATTTAAAATGAACTTTTAGAACTAGAAACAATTAAAATCTGAATAGCTTTTATCGATTTATTCATTTAATGTACATTTGTTGATTGCCTATTCTGCCAAGTGTTACAGTGCTGAACAGAGCTCCCTGGAGTATGTGTGTTCCTTGGCCTGACAAATTAAACATATTTCTTCTTCCTATTTTCTAGAAAAAACTAGACAAGGTACTAAAGAACTATGATGCCATCTGCCAGATTAACTCAGAGAGGTATCTACAGCTAGAACGGGCACAGTCCCTGGTTAACCAGTTCTGGGAAACATATGAAGAACTGTGGCCATGGCTGACAGAAACACAAAGAATCATCTCTCAGCTTCCTGCCCCAGCCCTTGAATATGAAACTCTAAGACAACAGCAGGAAGAACATCGGGTAAGCTCAGTGTGAAAGAGAATGCTGTATTCCCCATTAAAAGAGGATCATGATTTTTATGTTTTTTAAATACTGTTGACACCTTAAATGATTAGGACATTTTAGTAATATTGTGTCTTGGGCTGCATAATTTGCTTATTTCATATTTGCTTAACTTCTTATCCAGGGTTACAGTGAGAAGACTCGTGTGGATAGACCACATCGTATGTGTCATTAATTACATCACAACTTTTATAAAATAGTATTCAATATAAATCATCTGGATAGGAAAAGCTCCCATTTTAAAATGCTATATAAATAAGCTTTTGAAGTCTTTCAATTTATACACATTGAATTGCTTTCAATTTTGGAAGAGCCATTATACAGACAAGGCCACTGAGCTTGGAGGAAGTGTATAATATAATGAACATATCAAAATAGCAATATTGTGAGTGTGATGAAAAGAAAAAAATGCTGAAATACAAAGACACAATGTTTCCCTTTTTTTCACCTTACATACATGGAACTCTTGAAAGTTCTTGGTGTAGATGAGTAAACTAGGGAGTACATTTATAACTACAGTTATATTATTTTCTAAACATGTATGAAGTGGCATTACGAAGCCCTAATTTCAGCAATCACTTAATTGGTAATGTGACTTAAAATTTTGCAAGGGTTTGGGTAAGAGATGGCTCAAGACTGTCAGAAAAAAATCTGGAGTTCTTGCTGGTTATGGACTTGTGAACCTAGTTGCTCTCCCAGATCTGTACGAGATGTACTCTAAGGTTATGTTAATCTTGTTTGTTTACTTTTTTAATGTATTGACATCGAAGGCTATCTCTAAGTGAAGTATTTGTTTAGAAGATAGTTTTAAGAACACATTACTTGATGCATATTGGAAATCTTACGGAGTTCTATCTAAATGTAGAATTGAATTTAATTGTATTGTAAATGTTTATTTGTGATAGAAATCCTGGTAGTTACTCACTGAATGATTTTTTACAAAAAATGTTTCATAGATTTTTTTCGATTCTGAGATTATTTGAATAAATATGTTTTTAGCATAACATGTTGGAAAGGGGGCTCATTATTGAGCTGAAGTTTTCAAAATTGTAGTTTGTTTTCCTTTTTGCATCATCTTTAAGTGCTCAAATTTGTGATTGCTTATATAAAGGAAAGTACAAAACTTAGTAGCCAGTTCTTCAGAGTGTTTAAACTAAGCTTTGCTGTTTCAGAGTTTTGTATAGCCTCCTAGAATGGCTGTTCTCCAGCTCTACTACACCCTCTCCCTCTATTTTTTGGGAAGATTTCATTCATTCTATCCAGGAATGAAAAAAATGTCTCTGGGGGCCATTACCACGTGACAGATATCTTAAAGCCATGCTAGGTGTCTCCAGCGTGACTGGATTCCTATAACAATATGTTATCAGGAATCATTTTGGCACATGTGGCAAAAGGCATCTCCTGTTGGGCCCTTTTCCCATGCACATACATGCCCAAGTAGACATCCAGTATGTGTTCTCTAGCCTATCATGGAACAGTCTAAAAATGACTCCTCTCATACCCCCCAGGCTAAGTTGCCTCATAGTGGTGATACACAGATTTGATCTACCTGGATTCCAGGCAACTCAAGAAATCTCAGCAAAGATCTTGCATTTTACTTGAGAGTCTGTTGATAACTCAGAGTGTAAGCTTGTTTTTCAAGCATGCCTTTATAGAACATTGATGCCAGAGTATATGTAACATCCACAGCTTTCCTTTTCCATGAGATTGCTTATAGCTGATAATTGACATCACCACCTCCATTCTGTAAAGCAGCAGGAAGATATGATCTAATTATGTGAAATAAAAATAAGAAAACCTCAGCCTGGAGCAGTTGCAACCATGGCCTTCCCATGCTCTGATGAGAAGATCTTTCCTCTTTTTAAGATCAAATTTGTGTTTATTTAGCCCTTTCCAAAAGTGTTTTGAGGCAATCTTCTGAAAAACTTCTATAATAGTTTATTACATTGAGGATAATTAATGATGTAACGTACCAGTTTTCTCAATAAGTTCTTATAATAATCCATATGATTGATTGATTTTAGTGGAGACATTCAATAAAATCTAGGTATGTGGCTACCCTGGTGATTCTTCTTGATGAATGATAGAAATTAAAATTTGCAGGAAAAGAGTGGTAACTTATCTCTAGACTATCTTTCCTTAATGTAATTTCTCTCAGAGATGCTTTTGATAGGGACTGGAGTTTGGAGACCCAGATGATGGTAAGGAACTGCTGATGAGGGAGCCTTATCAGTAATGTACAAATGGAAGACCTTGATGCTGCATAAGACTGGCCTGAAAGAAACCTGCAGACAAAGGCAGATCTTCCCCTGGGATTGGCTTTGGATTTGACCCATGAAAAACCATTCAATGGAAGCCCTGGGATCCATTAAGTGTAGCTATTCCAGCTTTATTTGCCTCCCAACACATCATCTCCCATAGTGGAAATGGGCTCTCCTTGAATTCAACATCCCCCTACTAGTATAAATATTACTGCATTTTTTCATTAGATGAAAAAATTATGCAACATATCCATCTGACCCACATTTTACCTTAAATATACCTTACAAACAATGCTCAGTATATAACTGTGTATTTGATAGGTTATTACTCCTGAAACCTTTAACATTTTAAAATAGCAAGTAGTCATTTATTCATACATATGTCTATATGGCATATATATACAGAATAGATTGATACACACATATATAGTGTAATACACGTGTGTATTTATTTTATGTTGGTTCACATAAATAAATACAAAGCCTTGTGGGGCTTATATCAGTCACGCTAACATAACACCCCTTATTTTGAGATTTCCTCTCAGCATTGTATCTACCTTCTGCTGAGTTTCTTTCTGTTCTCTTTTTCCTCCCCCTCTTCTCCTCCCTCCTTCTCCTCCTTACCCCCATCTATTTCTCTTTCATTCCACTCTTTTTGTATATATGTGAATGTGCAGAAAGGAACACCAAGAGATATGACTTGGTGTCTGTTGGTTGGGGACATAGTGAGTTCAGAATTCTTATATATGATACGACCTTTGGCTAATGCTCATGTCAAAATGTGCTGCTTTTAGTATGAAGTGCGTAATGCACTGAGATTCATTATTTCAGTCAACCAGCAATTTTGTGTGTAGCCTTAAATGGGCTTTGGCATGACCAGACTGTTGTTTAATCTTTGTGTTCGGGCCATCTCTTCCTGGCAGAGAGCTGTAGGAGCCATCGTGTGTTAAATGCCTTGTGATGGGGAGGGCGTTTGTTTGGAGGTTCTTGCCAGCTGGATGCGTTGGGGGTGTAGACAGCTGTAATATGGAGGTGTGACCCTGAGATACTGAAAAGCTGTTTGGTTTGTTATAGCAACTGCGAGAGTTGATAGCCGAACACAAGCCTCATATAGATAAGATGAACAAAACCGGGCCGCAGTTACTGGAATTAAGCCCAGGGGAAGGCTTTTCTATCCAAGAGAAGTATGTGGCAGCTGACACTCTTTACAGTCAAATTAAAGAAGATGTCAAAAAGCGAGCTGTGGCACTGGATGAAGCCATTTCTCAATCAACTCAGGTAATCGTTTACATTAGAAATAGAGTTCGGTTTGGTTCTTCCAAATGGTGGAGCACAGAAAGACATTTCCTCTATCTCCTGATTACATTTCAACTAAAATGATTTCACTACATTAACTCTGAGTATTAATGTCTTTGTCTTTCAAAAGTGATGTTTGCTTGGGTCTGGCCTTATCTTTTTCTGTCTGCTTGCAGATACAACGTAAATAATTCTCAATGACTTAAGAAACATGCAGTTATCATCATTGTCTAAATATTTAATTCATTGCCTATCCTTAGTGGGATGCAATATTATGCGATATTTACCAGTAGAAAGCATTATAATTATTAGTAAAAACACTCCTGAGAAGTCAATAAAAAGAAAGACAGGATGATAGGCTGAATAAAATATATATGAAGTTAGAAATAGGTATTCTTTTCTTTTTTGAAAATATCTTTGTTAAGAAGTTAAATCTTGAAATACTCCAGATTTTCCATTTTCAAGGTTTAGTCTTTAACATTAGATGCAGGTCCATTTTCTGTAATCTCGTGTGATGATTCCTTTAACTTTGAGGATAGTGTTGAACCTGTGAATAAACAAATAAGTTTCTATAACACTGCCTAATTGTCTGTGGTACCCTTGCAAACACAAATGTGAAGTTCTCTCAAGTATCCGATTATGTATTTGTGAATTAAATATAAACTTCTGACACAACAATGGAAAGTTTTTTTTTTTCATTTAATTTTTTAACATTTTCCAGCTCAGGAAATACATAACTTAAGGAATCCCTTGATTCCAATCAAAATTGTCCATGAATTTCATATTTAATAATATAACTTTTTAAGATGCCAGAATAGTCATTTAAAATGACAAAAAAGATCAGTTTTAATAGCTAGACACCCAACCTTTGGAACTTAATTTTTAAAATTAATAAGAATATGAAGCAACTGGTGAAACAGACGCTGCTGCCATGTGGTCCAATTATATACCAACATATACCATTTCTTAGTGAACAGTCAATTATTTATAAGAAGCTAAGGCTACTCTACATAGGTAGTGTACCTCCTAGGTGCACACAAGGCATGATTTCAGATATGTCTTCATACAACCGCTGGATGGGTAGGTTGATAAGGGGGCTAAGTTTTAATTCTTAATTGTGACATTCAATGAATGTTTTAAATTTTGCATTTGGTATCACAGATCTTTTTTTCATAAGTGATCTCTTGGTCTTACTACTACTAGTTCCATGACAAGATAGATCAGATCCTCGAGAGCCTGGAACGCATTGTGGAGCGTTTGAGGCAGCCGCCCTCTATCTCTGCTGAGGTTGAGAAAATCAAGGAGCAGATCAGTGAAAATAAGAATGTGTCAGTAGACATGGAAAAGCTACAACCGCTGTATGAAACTCTTAAACAGAGGGGAGAGGAAATGATTGCCAGATCTGGGGGCACTGATAAAGACATATCTGCCAAAGGTAATAATTTTGGAATAAAGAAACAAATATTACTTTTAAAACAATTCTAAGTGTGTACTGTTTGCTGGCAAGCCAACTGTATAATAAAATGCCAAATCTTAGAAAAGGTATTAACAAATGTGATGTGCTTAAGGTTGAAGAGCGTGTTTACACACATCCCTTGATAACGTCTTCCTTTGTGAAATCAATCGGTTGAATATCAAGTGTGCTATTATACAAAGGCCTATGTTCTTCAGGCCTTTTAAACCAGTAGGTTAAGACATAATGCTAATGAGGCCACTCCTAGGGTTTCTTCTTTTCCCCCTTACTGATTACACCACCTTACATAGCATGCATACCCCATCTCACAACCACAGAAATGGGACCATAGCCAGCCATCATAGAGATATATGCTAGGGATCAAAGGAAGAACATGTATGTAGTGGAAATTTACAATAAGCATTCTCTGTAAGCCAGCTCAAATATGTATCCTATGTTGTTACAGTCCTAGGGCTGAATAGACAACTTTATTCTTGAATTGTAGAGCATAAAGAATTAAGTCAGGTGATTATTTCATTTACTTGGGATTAAGACTAATCTTTGTGAACTTGAAACTTGATCAACTTGGTTGTTCTGTGAGCTCACTTAAGATTTAAGCATCCTCTTTTGCCCAGAAGAGGCTTGATTCAGCAGGTGTAAGAGACCCAGAGATCTTACATTGTCTGAGATAGTCTCTTGGACCTGCTGATACCCACTAGACTAGAGTCAGCTAGATACTTAGCATGTTAACTCACTACTTTATTTTTTTTTTTTGAGTTGGAGTCTCACTCTGTCGCCCAGACTGGAGTGCAGTGGCACAATCCCAGCCACTGCAACCTCAGCCTACTGGGCTCCGGCAATCCTTCTGCCTCAACCTTCCAAGTAACTGGAACTACAGGCGCACACTACCACGCCCGGCTAATTTTTTTGGTTTATTGTAGAGATGAGGTCTCGCCAAGTAGCCCAGGCAATCCACTCACCTCGGCCTCCCAAAGCACGGGATTACAGGCTGAGCCACCAAACCCGGCGACGTACTACTTTCTATGTAAACTAAGACATCCTATTTTACGGCTTCAATGAAGCTAACCAATAGCCTTATTGATATTGTTTTGCTGTATAGCTGTTCAGGATAAGCTTGACCAAATGGTTTTCATCTGGGAGAACATACACACACTGGTGGAAGAAAGGGAAGCCAAACTACTGGATGTGATGGAACTAGCAGAAAAGTTCTGGTGTGATCACATGTCACTGGTAGTTACCACTAAAGATACTCAAGATTTCATCCGAGACCTGGAAGATCCTGGAATCGATCCCTCAGTTGTAAAACAACAGCAAGAAGCAGCAGAGGTAAGCAAACAATCTCATTTAAAATTAGAAAGATAAGTGGTGACATAATGAAACCTGGATTCCTTTGGTAAGTATGAGGAATTACTCTGTTAAAATTTATTTTGTTCTGAAAGTGGAATGCACAGTGTTAATAGTAGGAGATAGAGTACACCCACACATTTCCCTTTGAGACTATGTATTTGAAATAATTTCTCTCCATTACCACTGTGTCTGTTATATTTCAGGGCCTCATTATCTCTTTCTCTCTCGTTTTTTTTTCTTCCAAAGTGTAGAGTGTGTTTCCTTGCCAGGACTCTCTCATTGCTGCCAGTTGTCTCTAGATTGGCTCTTACTATCTTGTTGCCTAAATTCCCCAAAGGTATCCTCTGCCTCTTGGATAAAATTTAGACTCCCTATAACAGGACATGCAGCTTTTTACACCCTGGCCTAGCCCATGCCTGTGTCTCCAAAGCCATGTTTTTCTTCTGTTCCTTTACCAAACTCTCCCTTCTAGTAGTTAGAAAATGGCTTTCCCACAACAGTTTTGCTCTTTTTAGCATCCATGCCTTTGCATGTTTTATTTTCTCACCCTCAAGTGTTCTTCTGCCACTCTTCCAGCGGATGCCACTCAAGCTTCAAGGTTCGGTTGAATTATTATCCGTCCCCCCAACCACCATATAAAATCTTTTCTTTTATACTTAGCAGAGTTAGTTCGTCTGTGGACTTTGCACATAGTATGACTTCCTGTTGCTTCTGCCTTTCCTGCTGGACCGTGAGCCCTTTGTGGCAAGTAGCCATATCTATTTTTTTTTTGTATCCCCAGTGCCTAATTTAGGGCTTGGTTCATGCTTGCTTAATGTTTGTTGAATGAATAGATAGATAGATAGATAGATAGATAGATAGATAGATAGATAGATAGATAGATAGTTAGTTAAATTATTTAACTATTAAATTTTTTATTTTAAAGATGTGGGGTACAATTCAGGGTTAGGTATACAAATGTTCATTATGCAGGTACCCTTGTTGATGAGGTGTTGTTGTTGTTGTTGATGCCCCCCCATCCCCTGGCAGTTTCCTTCAACTGCCAATCCCACCACCCTCCCCTGGCAGTTTCCCACTCCTGCCAATCCCTTTCTTATAGTATGATAATTGTTCAAGATTTGCTTATGAGTAAAAAACATATGGTACTCTGTTCTTTGTTTCTGTGATAGATCACTTAGTACAATAGACTCTAAATCCATCCAAGTTGCTGCAAAGTCCATATATTTGTCATTCTTTATGGCTGCATAATATTCCATTGTGTATATGTACCACATTTTTTTAATCCAGTCCAACTTCGATGAGCAGCCTGGTTGGTTCCATGTTTTTGCTCTTGTGAATAGAGCTGCAACAAACGTGTGTGCGGGTGTCTTTTTTGTAGAATAACTTGAGTTCCTCTGGGTATCCCCCCCAATAGGGGGATGCTGGGTCATATGGAAGGTCACTTTCTAGTTCTTTTAAAAATCGCTACACTGTCTTCCAAAGAGGTTGCAATAGTTTGCATTCCTTCCAGCAACCTAGAAGCATTCCTTTTTCTCCACATCCTCTCCATCATCTGTTGTTGTTTGTTTTATTAATGGTGGCCAAAGAATAAATATATTTAACCAGAAAAATAAAAGCAAAGATAGGATATTGCATTACTATTGTATTTTTGTAATTTACAGGTCCTATAGTAATTACATAAAATGTAAATCCAATGCTAGCTTATCCTAAGTCTACTGGCAAATGCATTAATTTGTATAGATTCTTTGAACCCATATTTTACTTATGTCTATGTTAAATTTACGTTGTAAAACTTTGGAAAACAAAATGACTTTCTATACTTTACAGTATGGTTGATATTTTTAAAAATATGTTCTGATATTTGTTACAGTATTTCTTATTTTTATCAATAAGAAATATTTCTTAAATATAAGTACTTACAAATATTATGAATACTTCTTAAATATTATCTTTATAATAAACATTTAGCATATTTTACTCAAAGGGTGCTGTTTTCTTCTGTTCTCTTGTTGAAAAATTGTATTGCAGAAACTTAGAAAACAAAGAAGAAAATTAAAATTATTATAATCATACATCCTAAAAATAACTACTATTAATATCTTTGTGTATATCTTTTTTAATTTCAGTGTGGGTTTGCTTACAATCCTAAGGCTATCTTTTTCTTGCTTTAGGCCATAAGGGAAGAAATAGATGGACTCCAGGAAGAGCTAGACATAGTTATCAACCTGGGTTCTGAACTCATTGCCGCATGTGGGGAGCCTGACAAACCCATTGTCAAGAAGAGTATAGATGAGGTACAACTGACTTATTTTCCACTCTTCCCACAATGCTTTTTTTAGTTAACTAAAATGTATAGTCAAAAATTTAAACTGTGGCACTCAAAGAGTTCTAACATTTATATTATAGTTAAATTCAGCATGGGATTCTCTAAATAAGGCTTGGAAAGACCGAGTTGACAAACTTGAGGAGGCAATGCAGGCTGCTGTTCAGTACCAGGATGGACTGCAGGTAAGGGGATTACAGCGTCTGTACTGGTCTTAGCTGGGAGGAGGAATTACACTAATTGATGTCTACATATTGGCACCACCCCAAGACCGCAAGTGCATATGCCATTGTGGGCAACTCTATTCCTGCAGTTGCTTCAAGTACTTCAGTTTATGTTTTGTCTTTCGAAGACATTTCTGACCTTTCAGATACATATGGATATATGTACTCATCTAAACACATTTTTATACACACATTCAGTGAAATTTACTTTGAAGAGAAATATTTTAATGTGTTTCTTAAGTGAAAGTAAATGCTCCCACACAGTATGTTTCATAAATGGCTCAGCACCAGACAGAGAAATGGAACTGAATCTGAATCCTGTTCTAAGTTGAGTGGAATAAGATGAAAGGAGTAAACACTATCTAAAAATATCACTAAGTTTAACTAAAGTCAGAAGTAAAGAAATATGATTTGAAGCCAGTGTTCTCCGTGTACGAAAATAGATTTGTATTAGGTCATAATCTGGTGTGTAAAAGCGTTTTCTTCTTTTCCATATACATAATTCCTTTTAATCATTGTTTTTGACATCTCTTAAGCGTTCTCATTCAGGTCATTAACCATTTATACCTTTCTATTTTTAATGTTAAAAATTCTTTTGTCAGCTGTGGCCAACTCAGGGATATTTCTCTCCTTACCTTCCTTGACTTTCTTTCATTTCTTAACTAGCTGGCAGGAGTTTAATCTTTCATCCCTCTTACCATATGGAAAAAGCCTTTCTAAGTATTTCCATAACACTAAGTGAATATTATTTTTAAAGCTCAGATGAGAACATCTTTTCCTTTTTCATTATGCCACTCCATTTCTATATTTGTAAAAATAAATATCACAGCTAGGCTGTATGCCAGCCTAAAGTTTTTTGAACTTTGGAAATATATGAAAAAATGTAATGCAAATAACACTTTATTATAATTCTCCCCCCGCCCTTTTTTTTCTTTAACCAAAGTGATCCTTTATTAGTTAGGTGTCAGTGGCCAGTAACTAAATGGGGCTCCAGCCCTCTATCTGTGAGGCCAGGTCACTAGTAAGTCATTGAGTTGTGCTGTCTGCATGGCAAGAGGTGGCCCTGCCCCCACATGCAGCCATTTAGAAAGTCACAGGCAAGACACCATGACTTGTGCAGTCTCATATCTCTACCAAAAAGACAAGGGCTGTCATAAGTCCTGTTGGTCACGTGTTAAGAGCATCATCTGTGGACGAAGGGCCGCTTGATTTATTCAGTAGCTATAGCTCACTGTAGCTAGTTTTCGAAGGCTCCAGATGCTCCAGAGTTTTCTAGGTTTGGTTTTAAAGTAAAATATAGTTTATTTCCCAAGTTGCCGGTTAAGCGTTTTGTCAGGGGTGGTTAATGATAACTTAAAAATCCAAGATCTTTTTCCCCCCAACTTTATGACCTGCCAACTTCATTAAAGTGCAAAACAATTGTGTTATGTATTCAGTACTCAACTAAATGAGTTGAGCCTTTTGGACTGTTTATATTACCTAAAAAGAACAAGAAAAACGAGATTCTGAAGTCTGTGTTACAATTTGGAATACTAGTCATAATGATAATCATTTATATATATATAGGATTTTAATGCCAATCTCAATAATAAATAAGAGTTTGCTTGAGCCAGATATTTTGCTCAAGTGCTAAACCATAATTTCTTTCTTTTTGAAATAAGCAGATAGGTTAGAATCTTTTTCTTTCAATATATTTATGCAGAATGCCTTTCAGGCAGTCACAATAGAATAGTGACTTTTATTTCATGTGATTGAATTTCAAAAAATCTTTTTCAAATTAACTTTTTTGAAAGTTCTTAATAATCTAAAAATTGATTAAGAATTTATTTTTGCCAACTTGGATGCAGGCTTAGAGCTTATATCTGCTACATATTGGGACAAATGTTTCACTGTCTTGCTGTTTTTACTTAGTGAGGTGTACCATGTAGATTTTTTAATAAGATAGGCTCATTCATAATATGTTTTGAGATTTATTACTGTATTTTTCTATAATACTTGAGATATTGCAGCAATTTCAAATGTACTATTTTAACAACATGCACTAATGTGTCTTTCAGGCAATATTTGATTGGGTAGATATTGCAGGTGGCAAATTAGCTTCCATGTCTCCAATTGGAACAGATCTCGAAACTGTCAAGCAGCAAATTGAAGAGCTAAAGGTATGTGTTGGGGCTGACTAGTTTATCAAAGACTTCCTTGCTTTTTTAAGTTCTTTGTTCACAGAGCACCTTACAAACATTTATTATTTTTACCTAATTGACCTTTGAGAGTTCAGTCATGAAGCTAGTTTAATATATGTAGTGCCTACACATAATAAGCAGTGTGTAAGTGCTCATTTCATAAAGGAATAAAATAGTAGTTGTTTTCTTTTCATTAAGTTAATAACTGTTCATTATAGAAAAATCAGAAAACACAAATAAACCAAAAGGAGAAAACAATTTTTTTGAAGTTAACTAAAACATTGTATATGTCAAAGCCAACATACCAAGTGCTTGCTATACCTTATTATGTTTTAATTGTTATTTTTGTGTTTTGAAAAAAAGTTAAGGGATTGCTTGGCTGTTAATTATTTACTATTACATACTAAAATATTTTATAGAGATATTTTATGAGGGAACCTTTTTGTTGTCAAAGCCAAGATTATTAATTATATCAGTGACTTAGAAAGCAGCTGGAGAGAAGAATGTTATTCTATGAGAGCAGTATGCGAGGCATAGAAATAATTAAATATTAATGAGCACTGCAGAGCTATAGAAAACATTATGCATGTATTTTAAAGTCAGAACTATTACTTTGAGTTTATTAAGACTTTTTTTGGGGTTTCATATATGTCACTATACATTTAACTTTCTTCTTCCTCTAATTTCAAGTCTCTTTTTAAATATATTATAATTAGACATTGGAATAAGTTCAGCTTTGAAATTTAATTTTTTATTGTAGAGAACAAAAATGAAATGTCAAATTTATAAATAGAAGCATGTTTCCATCAGAAAATATTGAATAAAGAGAAAAGATTTCCCTTATTTTTTTTGTCAATAATTCTTTCGTTGGTAAGCTTTATGTTAGATTTTAATTTTTCTTGACCTTCCCCGATGGGAAGTGTGAATTAGAATAAAGCTCTAACCCTTAGAATTTTTTGTTTGAAGTTATTGATTTTTAGAATATTTACACTGCTTTTCTCTTTTTTAAAATAGCAATTTAAGTCAGAGGCCTACCAACAACAGATAGAAATGGAAAGACTGAACCACCAAGCAGAGCTTTTGCTGAAGAAAGTAACGGAAGAGAGTGACAAACATACTGTTCAAGACCCGCTAATGGAACTGAAATTGATATGGGATAGCCTGGATGAGAGAATTATCAACAGACAGGTAAATACCAAGACTTTTGTTACGATATTATAAATTTTGTAATTCAAATATTAATGTAAAATAATTATTAAAAAATAAAGCTATAATTCTTCCTGCTTCCCACATACCATTTTTTAACTAAAACGACATCAAACTTGCGATGTAGAGTAGGATGATTGAGACTTCATTGGCTGTGCTTACCGACTTATGCAACATGAAAGAATTGATTTTTTGTTCTTGTTCTATAAATATATGTCATTCATGATACCAAATGAATCCATAGGTTTTCTTCCTCTCCACTTTCTGTAGCATAAGCTGGAGGGTGCTCTGTTGGCATTGGGTCAGTTTCAGCATGCCCTGGATGAGCTCCTGACTTGGCTGACCCACACCGAGGGCTTGTTGAGTGAACAGAAACCTGTTGGAGGAGACCCTAAAGCCATTGAAATTGAACTAGCCAAGCATCATGTACGTAGCTATTATTGCATATTTTGTTTCTTCTCTGTGCATGTCTAGTGTTGGCAGAATTTTGGGGGCATGTTTCTTATGTGTGTTTCAAGTGTATGGTTTTGATGCAAGTTCACATTTGACACTTATAACTTAAGGTTAAACTATTTAAAATACACTTCTTAAAAGATTGTGATTAAAATATTTTTCTCATTGTTCAAAGCAATTATTACCAAATACAGCAAGAATGGGAAGTCTACTTTTATACCAGGATCATGCTGTTTTGGTTACTTACAGTCTTGAGGTAGAATTTGAAGTTGCGTAATGTGATGCCTCTAGCTTTGTTCTTTTTGTGTAGGATTGATTTGGCCATTCTGGCTCTTTTTTTGGTTCCATATGAATTTTAGGATTGTTTATTCTAATTCTGTGAAAAAGAACATTGGTAGTTTGATAGGGATTGCATTGAATGTATAGATTACTTTCGGTCATTTTAAAAATGTTGATTCTTCCAGTCCATGAGCATGAATGTTTTTCCATTTGTTTGTGTCCTCTACAATTGTTTCATCAGTGTTTTATAGTTCTCCTTGTAGAGGTCTTTCATCTTCTTGATTAAATATATTGTGATGCATTTTAGCTTTTTTGACCTCTAATGTAAATGGAATTGAGTTCTTGATTTGATTCTCAGCTTGGTTGCTATTAGTGTCAAGCAGTGCTACTGATTTGTGTGTTTTCATTTTATATCCTGAGATTACTGAATTCATTTATCTAGTCCGGATGTTTTTTGGAGAAGTCTTTAGGATTCTCTAAGTATAAGATCATATTGTTGGCAAACAGAGATAGTTTGATTTCTTCTTTTCCAATTTGGATATGCTTTATTTCTTTCTCATGCCTGATTGCTCTTGCTTGGACTTCCAATACTATGTTGGATAAGAGTGACGAAAGTGGGCATCTTTGCCTTGTTCCAGTTCTTAGGGGAATGCATTCAACTTTTCTCCATTCAGTGTGATATTGGCTGTGGGTTTGTTGTATGTGGCTTTTATTGTTTTAAGGAATGTTCCTTCTGTGCCTGTTTTTCTGAGGATTTGTATCAAGAAGGGATGATGGATTTTATCAAATGCTTTTTCTGCATCTCTCGAAATGATCATATGATTTTTGTTTTAAATTCTGTTTATGTGATGGATCACATTTATTGACATGCATATTTTGAACCACCTTTGCATCCCTGGGATAAAACCCACTTGATCATGGTGGGTTTTATTTTTTATGTGCTGTTGAATTCAGTTTGCTAGTATATTGTGGAGAATTTTTATGTCTAAGTTCATCAGGGATATTGGTCTATAGTTTTCTTTTTTTCTTGTGTCTTTTCCTGGCTTTGGTATTAGGGTGATACTGGCTTTGTAGAATGAGTTAGGGATAATTCATTCCCTTGTCTTCAGTCTTATGAAATAGCTTCTGTAAAATTCGTACCAATCCTTCTTTGAAAGTCTGATCGATTTTGGCTGTCAGATCCTGGATTTTTTTGTTGGGAGATATTTAGTCAGTTTCAATCTTGCTACTTGTTGGTCTCCTTCAGGGTTTGTGTTTCTTCCTGATTCAAGGTTGGGGACTGTATGTTTCCAAAAATTTATCCATTTCCTCTAGATTTTCTAGTTTGTTTGCATAGAGGTGTTTATAATAATGTCAAATGATCTTTTGTATTTCCGTGATATTTATTGTAATGTCTCCATTTTTGTTTCTGGTTGAGCTAATTTGAATGTTCTCTCTTTATTTCCAAATTAATCTAGCAAGTGGTCTGTCAGTTTTGTTTATCTTTTCAAAGAAGCAACCTTTTGTTTTGTTGAGCCTTTATATTTTTTATTTCAATTTCATTTAGTTCTGTTTTGAACAGAACTTCATTATTTCTTTTCTTCTGCTAGTTTTAGATTTCGTTTGTTCATGTTTTTCTAGTTCCTTGAGGTCTGATATTAGATTATTAAAATGTGATCTTTCAGTTTTGTTGTTTTTAAATATAGACCTTAAGTACTATAAATTTTCCTTTGAGCATGTCTTTGGCTGTATCCTAGAAGTTTTGATAACTTGTGTCATTGTTATCATTTAAACACAATATACATCAGTGATAGGAACTGAGAGTAATATAGTTGAGGTGAAAAATGAGGCAATCTGATCCAGTCATTTTGGTGTGAGATTGGTGGAGAGCTTTTAATTCTATTTGCCTACCTTTAGGTAGTTAGAAAGGCCTTCTTTTCTTTTTTCCTTCCATTTCTCAAAGAGGAAAAGTAAGCGATCTTAGAATTCCCAGGAGGATTGCTGCAGGAAGGGAGAGAATGTTTTCATCCCTCTCCTTCTTTTTCCTCCTACTACTAGGCTCCGACTTTGTAGTGGGACATAGTCTATTTAGAATGATTAATTTTATAGAATTATCTTTTATATTTTAACCACAAGAATATTTAACTCTTTCATTTTGAGAGCAATTCCTATGGTTAACATATCAAAGTACATGCTTTCTATAAAGATAACTTCTTACTCAGTTGATTTTATAGCCTTTGAAAAACACTCCCTCACCAGATGCCTCAGAAAATGAGTGAATACAATTATAAACAGTGATCTCAGATGGGGTTACTGCTGTTTGCTGAAAATCCTCCTTGGTCTGGATTTCTCTCCAGATGTGTGATGTCTTACACAGGGTGAGAGATGATGTTCTTGTCAACCCTGAGTCAATGAGTACAGGGTAGGATTATGACCAACTTTTACTAATTAGTAGAAGGAAGTTTCTTCTGGTTCCCAAAAATGTAAGCATAGTCTTCTTGAAGGGAATCTATGACTGAGACTATACTTGTTCTTTAAGGTGCAAATCTTTCTCGTATAAGAAATTTTTTTTTTTTTTTAAGTTTTGGGATTGCTTTCTGCATTTACCACTTTTTCCCCATTTTAGTGGATTTAGGCATATTAATCTCTCCTTGAATTCCATTGTGTAAAAGGAAGCCATTATTTGCTGGGATCTGTAGTAAGCAGTAAGTAGAAAATATGTGTATTTTCTACTAAACGAATAGCTGAACTATGGAATGCCGGGCTTAAGTGTCCCTATTATACAGTGAAATCTCTTATTCACTTCGTGTTAGGGTCTTCCAAGATTCCTTTCAACTTAGTCAATTTGGGGACCCTTCCAATGAGAGAAGATAAAGGAATATTCTATGGTTTGTCTGGGTTTTTTTTTTTCTCACTTTCAGAATGCTAATTGTAAAAATATAGTGCTGCATATCTTAGACATGATAATTTTATACTTGAAAGTGGATGCGTAGGAATAAAAATATCTTAATTTCTTGAGACATGAGAATTAAGTTTAATTAAAATTAGCTTGAATCAAATAAGAAACTTTAGACCGTTTTCATTATAATGGCCAGATATTTAGTGTCATCAATTGCAAGGTCATTCTGATGAGAATAACTAGCAAAGTATTCTCATACAATCATTTCAGGGTATATCGGTAGATTAAAGCTATATCCAGGAAGACTGCAAAGCTAAGGGACAGGAAATTTATCATTTAAAAACTTAATATTAAAACTGTATGCATTTGATGTTTTTGTTTCGGAATGTTTTATAATCAAAACATAAAACAATCACATTAAATGTTATGCGAGCATGTTATACACTAACAAACTTAGTGTTTGTTATCTTAATGCTATTTTCAGGTGCTCCAAAATGATGTATTAGCCCATCAGTCCACAGTGGAAGCTGTTAATAAAGCAGGAAATGATCTAATTGAATCAAGTGCGGGAGAAGAAGCAAGCAACCTCCAGAACAAGCTAGAGGTTTTAAATCAACGCTGGCAAAACATTTTGGAAAAAACAGAGCAAAGGAAGCAGCAGCTGGATGGTGCCTTGCGCCAGGTGAATAAGAGAATACATTCTGAAACTCTCTATAGCATTCAAGGCCACAGAAGCATGGAATTCTTTCATTAGTTCACAGCCCCCTGTTTAATTGTTACACCTTAAGCAGAGGAGTAAAAATAAGTTGGATAAAGAGCAGAGCAGAAGAGAATGCGGCTCTCTAGTTCTTAGTATAATACTCTTATCTACTAGAGGTCTCCTGATGAAAGAAGGCAAGACAGATCTAGTAGTACCTGGCTGTTCTTAAGAATGCCCAGAGACGCTTAGCAGGCTGGGATTGTTTGAACCTTATTTTGTGCTAGAAACTGACAGAGGGTATGGCCCCAACTTAAAATTCCCTATTACTTCAGGCCAAAGGGTTCCATGGTGAAATTGAGGATTTGCAGCAGTGGCTGACCGACACGGAGCGTCATCTTTTGGCATCCAAACCCCTGGGAGGTTTACCAGAAACAGCCAAGGAACAGCTTAATGTCCATATGGTAAGTACAGAATTTCCTACAGTTCTAGCCTTAGATTCACAAACTGACCAATGTGTGGGGCCTGGTGATACATAAATCATGGGAGAGAACTTTAAAGGACATTCAGTTTTATGGCAGAAATCACTATGTATACATGCCAGAAACAACAACATTTATTAATTAAAATTTTAAAGGGAAAACCCAACCTTTATTTCAAAGATACTGTGCCAGTGTATGAAAAGAGTTTGTAGAATTCTAGACATTTGTTGGAAGCAACCCTTCCCCCCAAAGATGATAAGCTTGTACAGGTATTAATATAACATTGTATAAATTGCAATCTGCTGTGCCTTGCAGTGTACAGAAAAATCTCCAAAATAATCAAAATTGACTTAAAATCATTGTTAGAAGTATGGTATTCTCTCCCAGTATCATGGAAGACTGGAAAATATGTTCTTGTTCTGTTTTAAGAAAGCTGCTTTTCACAGGTGTGGGTGCTGGTACTGTTAAAGCCCAGACCAAAAACTATGTGTATCCCCCAAAGCTATTGAAATTAAAAGAAAGAAAGAGAGAGAGAGAGAGAGAGAGAGAGAGAGAGGAAGGAAGGAAAGAAGGAAGGAAGGAAGGAAGGAAGGAAGGAAGGAAGGAAGGAAGGAAGGAAGGAAGGAAGGAAGGAAAGAAAGAAAGCTACTTGTTTGTTTTAATGGTGATAGAGCACTCTCTTTCACTTCACATCTACACTATACAGGGGAGACGAGGAGGCTGCTGTTTAACTGTCCAGGGTGGAACACTGTGCCTGGGGGCCCTTCCCACCCAGATCCCGTGGCCCTGTCACCTAGAAAGAGAAAGGGAAAAATAATGAAATTTGAAACCCAGACTTTCTTTTGTAGAAATAGGACTGACACATTAATTACCTTTGAATTATTGACATTTTGTATTTATATTCCATTTTAATTCAGCTCTAAAAGTTCTAAATCAAAACAGCGGTTCAGATTTTGAAAACTATTTCCTCTCATTTTTACACTTACGAATTTGTATCAGAATTTTTTTTTTTATTTTCAAATACTGATAATTAGTATCTTGGGAAATAAAAGTGGAAGTAGAGATTTGTCAAGAGAAGCAGGCCATTCATACCTCATCAACAAGGGTGCCTGCATAATGAACATTTGTGTACCTAACCCTGAATTGTACCTCGCATCTTTAAGATAAAAAGTTTATAAAAAAGAAAAGAAAAGAAATGGGCCATTGCACATCAAAATTTGCAGTGTTTAGCAGACACCTAGCATTGTTATAAAATCTTAAAACTGTACTTATTTGGAAATAGTTTTGAATTTGGTGATTTGAAAAGGAAATAACCATCTTGTAGATGCTGTAAAGAAATAGAATATGACAGTAGGTAACTTCACATTCATTTCACAATTGCCATAAACAGTTTAAATAAGTCTTATTAATTCAGTGTAGAATTTTCTAGAAATCACTAAGGTATATTTATTGTTTTAGAAAATTATTTCATGTGTGGTTTTTTTTGTTGTTTTTGTTTTTGGTTTTTTTTGAGTTGGAGTCTCACTCTGTCGCCCAGACTGGAGCGCAGTGGCACGCTCTCGGCCACCACAGCCTTGACCTCCTGGGCTCCAGCAATCCTTCAACCTCAGCCTTCCAAGTAGCTGGAACTACAGGCGCGCACTACCACACCCAGCTAATTTTTTGATTTATTGTAGAGATGTCTCACCAAGTTGCCCAGGCGGGTCTTGAACCCACGGGCTCAGGCAAATCCACTCACCTCAGCCTCCCAAAGCACAGGATTACAGGTTGAGCCACCAAATCCGGCTTCATGTGTGGTTTTTATTGTTGTTATTATTGGTGGTGGTGGTGGTGGTGGTAGTTTCTGGTGCAACAAGAGATTCTTTTGTTAAACTGATAAAGTAATTGACTAATTGATAACTTGAGAGTGCTTATCTTCCTTTGCCATAAAACCAGAGTGACTTCAGGGCAGTTTTCTGCTTTCCAGGAAATACTTACTTAGCTTTTACAGTGTCCAGTAATTTAATGCTTGGAATTATTCTCTAAAAACATATGTTTTTTAAAATGTTAATTTAGAATGCAAGTAAGAACTTGAAATCAAAGAACTTATCTTTGGAATACTTTACTTTCAGAAATATATTACATATTATCTTGGTTTGGATGGGCTATTTAAAATTAATTTATCACCTCTATAATTTTAACAGGCTATAGAAATTCTGTGAGTTAAAGAATTCTGAAGAGTTACTGATATTTGTGATACTGTTTCAGAGATGTTCTTTTGATTTGGTTGTGCTAGAAATGAAGAAAAATTCAAAACCCACAATATTACAATTTCCCAAGTTTCTAACTATATATAAAAGCTTTGCTTTAGGGATAGGAAGCTCTTAGTAAATGATGTTCTAAATATGTTTAGAAAGTGTTATTTTTTAAAGAGTTAAGAAATTACAAAGTTTAGAGTTGATGAGAATAGAATGTTTTAATAGTGTTAGTGATAATGACTGCAAAACCTTGTGAATATATTTTTAAAAAACTGAATTGTACAGTTTAAAATGGTGACTTATGTTATATGAACTGCATTTCAGTTTTTAAAAAATATTTTTAAAAAAGTTGAAAATATTAAAAAATTCTAAAAGTTAGTGAAGCATAGAATATATAATTTTCAATAGGAACTATGATTTGATCCACATTGCAATTGAATGAATAGAACATAACTGGTCTTAATTTTTTAAATAAAGTATAACTTATTTCAGTGATCTTAAATTTTGAATTTGTTTAAGTAATGTTTTCTTATATTCTCTGTAGAAGAAAGATATATACTACATTCAAGTTGGAAGTTTTGAAAATGTTATAAATAAGAATAATATTCATGGTACCACTAGTTTGGCTTTTGTAATTCTAGATCTGAGTAATCAACTTAAATGTCTTACCATACTGGTTCTTTACTTTCTGTTCATTGCGTGTTTTCTGAGTACAGAATTAAATTATACTAATAAAATATTACAGTCACTGTATCACAGGATAAAGAGGGACTTATGAGAGCCCCTCATTTCACAAAGAAAGAAATTGAGGCTCAGAGAGGTTAAATTACTTACCCAAGGTCACAGAGCTGATTAGTTACTGTACAGTGAAGACTTTCTTGACAGCATTTAAAACTACTGCTTCAAACCTTAGCATGCTAGAATGGATTTATAATGATAGCACCATTTCTGAGATTTCTCAGTAGACAAGGTATTAGCTATAGATTTAGGTGTTAATTCAATATAGTGAAAAGTTTAAATGTGTCAGGGTCGCTCTGGATGCCAAAGAAAGATGAATATATGATGAAGGACTTGGGATTGATGACCTGGAAAAATAGAACTCTCAGATTTTATTCTCTTAAAAGTGTTAAAACTTGGGGGTATCTCAATTTAGGAAGTCTGTGCTGCCTTTGATGCTAAAGAAGAAACATATAAGAGTCTGATGCAGAAAGGCCAGCAGATGCTTGCAAGATGTCCTGAATCTGCAGAGACAAATATTGACCAAGACATAAATAACTTGAAGGAAAAATGGGAATCAGTAGAAACCAAACTCAACGAAAGGAAAGTATGTGCTTTGATTAAATATAATAGAATCAGTGTTTTCATTGTTTTATTTAATGGACTTGTCTTATTTCAGAGTTGAATGAACTCAGAATAGAACTTTTAATGATTCGTGGTTTGTTTTTTTGTAGACATTTGGAGGTTTCATGGGGTTCGTTGAAAATAGTATTCTAGTTTAACATGAGAACAGAGTTAGGGCTATATTCAATACAGAAAAAGATAGGGCAACCCTTTTGGGTCCCTTCCCACTGTGGGAGCTTTTCTGTCCTCTCAATAAATTCTGCTTTCAAAAAAAAAAAAAAAAAGAAAAACATAAATCATAGATCAAGTGTTAGATATATTTTTAAATGTTGCGAACCACTCAAATTCTGGGTCATTAAATAAGTCTAGTCTAATTTGTTTAATTAAACAAAAGACTGTATGTAGGGAGGAAGGAGAGGGTGAGAGCTAAGAGTGAGATGATTGCTTATATTTTATAAGCACTTAATTTAAAAATCCATTAGAAGAGATTAAAATTTATGCTAAATTATGAATATGTTTTGGTCACTTTTTTTAAAACCCAAGAATAACAGTCTAAGAAATCTCAATATTATTATTGAATGCTATAGAATAACAATAGGCTAGAACACTAGATTAGATTAGATTGCATGCTATCACTGATAGAGCTTAAAGCATATTTCATAGTATTTTTACCTCCAAAATTAATTGTATGAATGTCAGTTTTTCTTCTTTCAGAGTCTATTTAGTAATTGTGTTCACTGTTAATTGCCAAAAAGCACAATTTAGTGGCTATTAAAATTTTTTTAGGTGTAGTGAGATGCTTCTTACTAGACTTAAAGGGATTTGTTTGTCAGTCTCTTAGCAAAGCCCCATTACATTTATAAGATATTTAGTTAACACAGATATTCATAAATAAAGTGTAGGTTGGAAAGGAATCTGCCAGAAAATGGTTAAACTGAAACAAGCGAAATAATCAAAACCCTTAAATATCAAATACTAAATAATCTGTCTTTGCAGACTAAACTGGAAGAGGCCCTCAGCTTGGCAATGGAGTTCCACAATTCTCTCCAAGACTTCATCAACTGGCTTACACAGGCTGAACAGACCCTAAATGTGGCTTCTCGGCCAAGTCTTATCTTGGACACAGTCTTGTTTCAAATCGATGAACACAAGGTATATAACGACGCAAATGGAGAGCATCTTCCTTTCTGTTTTAATGTCAAAAGCATGCATTTGGTAGTTTCAGAACTTTCTTTTGTCCTTTAAAACATTTCCACCTTTATGATACTGAAAGGATTTTTAAGATGGAGCTATTTTCACTAGCTTCTAGTTATGCACTTTTTTTTTTTTTTATTTTTTTTTGGTTAAGGTCTTTGCCAACGAAGTAAATTCTCATCGTGAGCAGATAATAGAGCTGGACAAAACTGGAACCCACCTGAAATATTTTAGTCAGAAACAAGATGTTGTCCTAATTAAGAATCTACTTATCAGTGTCCAAAGTCGATGGGAAAAAGTGGTTCAACGGTTAGTAGAAAGAGGAAGATCTTTGGATGATGCAAGGAAGAGAGCCAAGCAGGTAATAATCCTTTATAAAAATACTCTGAACTTGGCAATAAATCAGGTCTGGCTGCTGAAATATATGTTATTAAAGTTCTTTTATTGCAGGCTATATTTGCTGTAACAATCATGGCACAGAGCCAGAGCGGTTATTTCCCAAGAGGGCTGTGGCCTAAGTTTGTTTATTTTTAAATTTTTTTTGAGTTAGGTCTTGCTCTGTCACCAAGGCTGGAGTGCAGTAACGCTGTCATAGCTCACTGTAGCCTCAAAGTCCTGGGTTCCAGTGATCTTTCCGCCGCAACCTCCATCATAGCTGCTACTATAGACATGAGCCACCATGCCTGGCTAATTTTTTTTTTTTTTTAGAGATGGAGTCTCACCATGTTCTCCAGGCTGTTCCAAACTCCTGACCTCAAGTGATCCAACTCTTCCAAAATGCTTCCAGAATGCTGGGATGATAGGCATGAGTCACAGTACCTGATTGTGTGGCCTAAGTTTGAATGTTGATGTTGTTCTTTGACCTGGCAATCACTTCAGGCCCTGGGAACTAATCTTGAAAAAACTGATTATGGCTTGACTTTATAGAAAGGTCATTATCATTAAGGCCCCAAAAGAAGCTCAGAATTTTTGTTACCGCATTTATTTTTCCTTTGTTCTTTCAACTTCTACTCTCATACTCAGAGTAAGGTGTCATACTTTATTGTTTTGCTACCTTTTGTTTAGTTCCTATGCCAGACTTTCTTTACAAACTACCAGAGCTGAGAGCCAGACACAGAACAAGCCCCTTTCTTTCCCCACACCCTGCAGCTTTCTGTGGAGTCATATTCTGTATCTGAGTTGGTCAGCATGCTCCACCTCTCGATACTTGTTGACAAACTTTCATTTCTTCTCTAATATTTTGGCATAGCTCCATCTCACTTTGCAATTAATTGTTAAAATCTTTTGGGACTGCTTTTTTAAGCTAGAAAATCTCATAAGTTTTATGAAGAGCTTTTCTTTGTTCCTTTACCTATTATTAACATTCCACTCTAGACTAAACACAGAGAAGAGGTAATATTATGCATCTATTTGTATCATTGTGCTCCATGAAAGAGAGCGACATACACACTTTGCTTGATATGTATCTTTTAATTTTTAATTTTTTATTTTTTTGAGTTTGAGTCTCACTCTTTGTCACCCAGGCTGGAGTGCAGTGGCATGCTCACAGCCATTGCAGTCTTGACCTGCTGAACTCAGACGATCCTTCCATCTCAGCCGACATATATCTTTTTTTAAAAAATTCTTCGAGTTTTACTAGAAACTTAGTGCAACATTGCAGCAGGATTTTGCAATTACTCTTTTTGCCCCATTCAGCTGCATTCCTCTAGCCTTGGTATTGCACTCCATTGTTTTGGAGAGCTAGGCTCAGTTGAGTGATACAAAAAGTTGTCATGGGAGTCAAGTATTTCTATTGTTAAAGCTATTAGTGTACATGTTTAAAGGCTTTAGAAATGAAGAATTGCATTGTTAGAGGATTACACTCCATATATCCCTTTTTGAGTGGGAGGTATGAAGTGTTCAGTGTTACCAGTGAGTCACTGGGATAGAATCAGGATCCAATGTTTCATTAAGACAGAACTACTTCCAAGCCTGACATTTTTCTCTCCACATCATGTGGCACAATGCCATCTGTAGTCCAGGCATTTCTTGAGTTTTGAACATCTAATTTATAAAGGTTTCTTGGATGCTAATAGCGAGTTGCTCACCCTTTTCCTCCTTTCTCTATTTAACTGACTTTATTTTCTCAGTTTGCTTAATTAACTTTATAAATATGTTCTGTTTATAGTGAAATGTGTAGCATTTTCTCTGTGTGGCTTAAAAATCGTTTTGAAAGCAAGATCAACCTTGGAACCTCTGGGTTTTTATGTCCGAGCTTACCATGCTACTGTGATTTCCTGTATTAATCGGAGTCACATTACTTAACACCTTGTCTAGCTGTTTCTTTAGTTTATTTCTTACTCTAATTTCTCAGTTTTGGGCTCAGATATTGATTATAGTTTTCCAGCCTTGGCAATTCCTGTGCCAATTCTGGCCTCTACTGTTTAAATTGATTAGAGATGTGAGAGGGATATGCCATGCCAGGAGGGCAGGTTTGCAACCAGATAAGCTCTAGTGGGCTCTTGCATCTTTGTGATTCTGTCCTTAATCTGCTGTTACTGTTAAATGTCTTTTTGTTATTTCATTTTTGATATGCTTTGGTATGCACCAAACTTTATTTTGATTACTTAATTTTTTGTTGTGTATCTACTACATAACACTTAAGTTTATTGTGAGAAATACTTCATGATCAATTTTACAATTACATAAAAAATAGTACCCACTGGCCATTCATAGTAAACAGAAAAGAAACTGTGACGGAAATTAAGTATGTATAGCACCAGAATATTTGTAAGGTCCTAGATGCCAAAGAGAATAATATTTTGTTAGAACTCAAGTATTGTGACTGCTCACACATATAAAATCAATATGTGAGGCATAGGCATTAATTTGAGAATTTTGATAGCAGCAATAAAGATATTGGAATATCTTTCCATTAAATAGGAATGTAATAGCTTCTTTTTACTCTTGCTGCTTTTAAAAACCATCTTACTAGCTTTATCCTTTGCCCAGCCCTTTTTGTTCCTTTGGTAACGCAGGAATTAAAGACCTTAGGAGTAAACCCAGATCTTCAAGAGATAGCAGTGGACCAAATGAGGAAAAAACAATTTTTTTCTGAGCATTTATGTTAATTTTTGAGCATAAAGACAAGGCGAAAGTTCTTTCTGGATCTTTCTAACTGTGTCTAGTCTCCTTTCTACTTTTGTTAGAGCTTATGTGTTGAGGAGTTATAAGGAAGTGACCATGGGGTACAACCACAAATGCCAAGCATTATCTATTTGCTGATGAAAGCATTATTTTTTTCTTCTTTGGCAAACATTTTGAATCAATAAGTTTACTGTTTTCATTAATACTAATCTCTGTTTAAAAAATATTCTAGATTCTAAATATAATGTGCTTGAAAATTTTCGGGAGCCAGACATGATGGCTCATGGCCTGTAATCCCAGCACTTTGGGAGACAGAGACGAGAGAATGCCTGAGACCACAGGTTAAAGACCAGCCTGGGGAACTTGGCGAGAACTCATCTCTACAAAAATTAATCAGCTGGGTGTGGTGTCAAGTGCCTGTAGTTCCAACTACATGGAAGGCTGAAGCAGAAGGATGACCTGAGCCCAGCAGTTCGAGGTTTCACACTCTAGCCTAGGCAAAAGAGTGAGACTGACTCAAAAAAAAGAAAAGGAAGTTTTAAGACAAAGATGTGAATTTCTTTTACAGTTTCATGAAGCTTGGAGTAAACTTATGGAGTGGCTAGAAGAGTCAGAAAAGTCTTTGGACTCTGAACTGGAAATTGCCAATGATCCCGACAAAATAAAAACACAACTTACACAACATAAGGTAGGTATATAAGTGAGAAAAATATGTTGTCTCATATATATCAGATCACTTTGAAATTCTTATTTGATCATGTTTTATTTATCACTAGAGAAAAAAGTCTGTCCAATGTGCATTTGCATTAAATTTAAAACCAATTGCCCTCATGCTGGTCAGGTTGCAATGTCTTTGCTCTCTAGCGACCATTTTATTAAGGATTCCAGAGTTAATTGTTAAAAGAAAAACATACAAAATTAAAACTGGAAGTCCTCTTCGATCTGAAACATATAAAGGATTTGAAGTGGTTTGAATATTGGCATTTCAATTTTTCATGACAACTGTCTTGTAATTTCTTTCACAGACCAAATACCACCTTGAAGTAATTCTGTTGTAAAAAGCAATATAGATTTTGCAGTATAGATTCTTTTTAACACTGGAGTGAGAAAAAGTGATTGCCCCTACGTAAATTGATATTTTATTGTGTTTGTGCATGTATAAAATTCACCCCAACCTCAAAGACACATAGTCAATGACTTATTTGTATAGTCTAGGAAAACACTTAGAAAATGATTTTTTAAAAAATATTTTTCTACCTTTGATATCCCTTCCACCTGGCATTCAAGAGCATTGCTTCCCACCCTACTCAACTCTTTTGAATTTGGTCTTTTCTGTAATTCTATTTGTATAGAATTAGAATGCTATAATTCTAATTCTACCAGCCATCAGGGTAAGGAAGTGGGCAAAAGGTGAATGGTTCCTGCAGTTTTGCAACTTTAGCCGTCTACGTATAAATCATTGCTTGAAACATTTTAAAAGCTGGAAAAAATGGGGTGATGTAAAATTTACCATCATCACAAGATTCTGGCCATCATTTCCACACAGGTTGGTCACTTCCATGGTGGGGGAGTATCTAACCTCAGGGTGTCATGAGTAGAGGATGATGGAGGAAGCATGTTGAGATTCTGTTGTTTGACTGGATGAGGGCTAACAAAGGGCGTATACTGCTGCACCCTCTGCCTGTGAGTTGCCACAGCCAATATTGAAAGCATATGACTGCAAACAGAGCATTTCATCCTTCCCTTCTGATGGAAAAGTGAACTTGAATATGGATGTTGTATCATACAGTCTCATAAAAGAATATTGCATATTAAAGTTAGAAAATCCTAGAAATAAGAATGTGAAAAGAATACTTACCCTGTTAGAATCTCTGTTTTTTCCTAGTGTGACCTGTTGCCAAAGTTGCTGTTTCTCTAAGATGTGCATTCAAAGTGGTTCATTAAACCAATTTTAAGTCTTTCCTGTTCATCATTTGGGTGCTTTTGTCTTTAAAAAGCTTTCATCTATCTTGTGTCCAGCTACAGCACTAATTATGTATATGCCATGTGAGGAAAGGCCTTGTCAGTACCATAATTCTAAACACCATCATTTGGTTTAGAATAACATGAAAAATAACATTTACAGATAACAAACTGTAGAAATGGGGTGATACTGTAAGTGCGTTGTTATTCCTTAAAAATTTCCAGATGTACTTGTGTCCTGTGATCAGACAAAATAATTAACTTAGTCATATTAAAACATTTAAAGTGTTTAGCTTTTAAAGGCAACAAATACTTATTAGGTAACTATAAGTCTGAGATTATTTTAAACAATTATATATTTGCGTAGCATTTTACCATCTGGGGTGATTCTCATGTGCTGCCAGGACTGAGAATTACTGCATGGTTTCCATGATGTTTTATGAGATCATAAGCTGCCCGTTAAGTTGACCTTTCTCTCTTATCGCCCCTGAGATTGTATTTTCAATAGCAGTTGTCTCATTCTTTTCTACTCATTCTATTAAATACTTGTAAATACTTAAAATATACTTACAAAATACACGTGTAAGGTGACAGTGAGAGGCCTACAAGAATAATGTCTTTGCTCTATGAAAGCTTATCAGTGAATTATGTAGAAAGAATCTACAGATTTTCCTTGACTTGCGACTGGTTTACATCACAATAAACCCATCAGAAATTGACAATGTCACAAGTGCAAGTCACACTTACATTTAATATGCCTAACCTACTGCATATCATAGCTTAGCCTGGCCTGCCATAAGCATGCTCAGAACATTTATGTTAGCCTACAGCCGGGCAAAATCGTCTAACACAAAGCCTATTTTTATAATAAAGTGTTGAATCTCTCATGTAATTTACTGAATACTGTACTGAAGTATGGATTCTACCAAATGTCTATGGCTTTTGCCCCATTTTATGTCAAAAAATCATAAGTTGGGCCATCCTAAGTCAGGAACTGTTTATAATTCATCTCCATTTATTAGTGATGCCTCTTTTAATGCTTCTTGCCTATGTGATTATTAGTCCCAAGTAGAAATGCACATTGTTTTCTTGTTAAATATGTAGGAGTTTCAGAAATCACTTGGAGCCAAGCATTCTGTCTATGACACCACCAACAGAACTGGTCGGTCTTTGAAGGAGAAAACCTCCCTGGCTGATGACAACCTGAAACTAGATGACATGCTGAGTGAACTCAGAGACAAGTGGGATACTATATGTGGAAAATCTGTGGAAAGGTAAAATGTTCTTTAAGGCAGTTTGGTTACTCCTTAGATCTCTTTCAGAAACACAGTAGTGGTGCTTCACAGGGCCATGTTAGGAGCCTTCAATACCGCCTTTGCCTGGGGAACTTCTGTTTGTCCTAAATATCTCATTCATACAGCACTTGCACTGAGAAGGCTTTGCTGTTCATTCTTTATTTTAACTATGCATTATAATAAAAATGATATTCTCCGAGCCTCTGTGTACCCACAGCTTCTGGCTGGTCTTCCCAGGTCTGCTTTTATCCCTCCTTTATCTTAATTTTTTTTCTTTAATATGAGTATGATCTTGTTATTTCCCTTTTCATACCCTTTGGGGGCTTACTACTGGGCATGAAATGAAACACAGGTATCTTACCATGACGTGCAAGATACTACTGACCTGGGCCTGGCTTCACCTTCTAACTCCCATCCCTTTCTGGTCTCCCTCTTTCTCATTATACTTCCGTGAGAATGCAGTACCTATTTCAAAAATTTTAAGTGTTTAAGTAAGTACAGGAGTAGTAGAAGAGCTCAAGTATCTTGTAAATGTTCTCAGATTTTTTATTGATTATTCTGTGTTTGGAAGGAAATATGAACTATTTAAATTAGCCTTAATTCCTTCGGTCAGTATCAAGATTTAAAAGATTATATTCTGTTCCAGAGAACTCACAATAAGTTTTTGTTGTGTTTTTTTTTTTAAATCTCAAATTTTCCAGTCTCAAGAGTTTATGTACTTTTTACGGTGTCACATAAATCATTTCATTTATGATATTTTTAAAAAGACAGAATTGTAGTCATGACAAACAGATCAGTGAATGCCAGGGCTTTGAGATGGGGGCAGGGTGTGACTAGAAAGAGGTGGCCTAGGGAGAGTTTGGGGATGATGGAACTTTTCTGTATTTTGATTATGGTGATGGTTACATGAATGTATATGTTAGTTAAAATTTAGAGAACTGTATACCCAAAAAAAGTCAAGTTTACTGTCTGAAAATTTAAACCAAGTTTAAAAAATTAAGGCTTATTTTTATTTTTTAAAAAACCCCCAAAATTGAAGGATCAGTGATTTCCAAAGGTGATGATAAGAGAATTTTCCTGGAACAGATGCCGCGTATCTAAGGAATAAAAAATAACATTTGAGAAAAGAATTGTTATTTTCCAGAGAAACAGCAATGAATACCAACATGTTAACATATTGCTCTTCTTCTTGAGTATACTCAACCTTCATAAGTGAATTTTAGTTGTTCAGATGTATAAAGGACACTTCTTTGTTGCTCAGATCAAGTTTTCCACCTTCTTTCCCCCAGACAAAACAAACTGGAGGAAGCCCTGTTATTTTCTGGACAATTCACAGATGCCCTGCAGGCCCTCATTGATTGGTTGTATAGAGTTGAACCCCAGCTGGCCGAAGACCAGCCTGTCCACGGAGACATTGATTTAGTGATGAATCTGATCGATAATCACAAGGTAATGTTGTCTGGGACATTTTATTTCACCTTGTGTGATTTTTCGGTGATTGAAAGGAAATATGAACTATTTAAATCAGCCTTTTTAAAATCAGAAGACTATATAGATCATACTACAAAACAGTCTTTATTGTTGAAATATTTGTCCATTTGAGCAGAATCAGGAAGCCAACTTTAAAAGTGATGAGGGGAGCATTACGTTAGTATTATTAGAATGCTTTGTTTTAAATTACCAGATCTAAAACCTTTTTAGAACTTGGAAAGTGATCTCATTGGTGCGTTAAAATGTGTTTCAAGAATGTTTTACTATCTTTTAATTATTCATTTAAACAATTATGTAATAAAATGAAAATCATTCATTCAGTGACCTGACACTAAGTCATTGCGTAAGTGTGCATATTTGTGACATGATCCATGGGGGTCATGATCAGCTGCCTTTATAAAATTTTTAAAAAAGCATGACTGTTTTAACCTTGCCCTTTGAACTAAAGCAATTTATAAATCAGCTGCATGTACTAGAAGGAATCTATGTGTTATTTACTTCAAGAAAATTGGTTTCCTTGCCATCTTCTGATATGTATGTTAAGCCATCGTTCAAATCAAAAGTAATATTCAAGGTGTGCAGCTAAGTGTAAAGTCCTAAATTATGATCAAATGATTTAAAGCAACTTATAGAACCTTGGCTACCACATGAAGCACAAAATAATGTAGAATAGTTGTATCAGAGTTGACTTTATAAAATAATATCTTACAGTGCTCTACTTGAATTCAGAAAATATATTTCATTTCAGCATGTTCTCCTTATACTGGTTAAGCTATTTTGATCTTACCTGTTTTTTATTTAAATAGTTGGTTCTCCTGCATATTTATTTCCCCCTCTCTGTTCCTGTTCTATCACAATACCCATAAAAGAGTTTTTTATACTTTGATTTTAACAGAAAATAAAATAAGCCGGGCTCGGTGGCTCAGCCTATAATCCCGTGCCTTTGGGAGGCTGAGGTGAGTGAATTACCTGAGCCCGGGGGTTCGAGATCCGCCTGGGCAGCAAGACCTCATCTCTACAATAAATAAAAAAATCAGCCGGGCATGATGGCGCATGCCTGTAATTCCGGCTACTCGGAAGGCTGAGGCGGAAGGATCGCCGGAGCCCAGCAGGCCGAGGCTGCGGTGGCTGGGAGTGGCCACTGCACTCCAGTCTGGGCAACCGAGTGAGACTCCAACTCAAAAAAAAAAAAAAGAAAAAGAAAAGAAAATAATAAATAAAGAACATTGGGCAGGCCTACAAAAGTTAAAAAAAAATTAAATTGCATTGCTTTGCTTATATTGAAACAAATGTTTTGTGCATGATTAATACAAACTTTTCTATTTTCTGGCATTCATTCAACAAGTAATGAATAGTACAATGTTACTTTTTACATAAATACCATTTTTGTAAGCTCATTGTCTAAATATTTACTACCCTAGGCACTTGCCAGGTTTTTTTAAATATATATTAAAGGTCATCAAGAATGAATTCATCATTTAGCATTAGTAATACAATTGGAAGGCTCAAGAAGTTCAAGTATACAAAGTACATTAGAAAGTCTACTCAGAACTACAGGAGTAATCCTATCATAAATGGACTGTTTAGAGACTGTACCTGCTCTTCTTGTGTTTGGGTGTATTTGTATCTGTCCATCTGCAGTCATATCTCATTTAAACTGTTAAAATAAGCCAAAGAATTCATCACTTTTATGATGGACTCCCATTTGGAAATGGTCAGAATAGAAACTCATAGATAAACCAAATGGTTATATTCATTTGTGGTAAGTTTTTTGAAAAATAAGTTAATTTTATTCTGGACAGAATATTGGCTATTTGATCTAGTTGCATATACAGACTTTGCATAAAAATAAAGAACCCTGGGCTCACCTCTTGGATCAAGTCTGTGGCCAGAAGAAACCAGTTTAACTTCTGGCACATCAAAGTTCATCAAAATTAGGCAGGGAAAAAAAGCCAAAACCCAGAAAGTTTTTTTTCTAAAATGACAGATTAAGGATTTAAGCCTCTAAAATTTGACAGTATAAGTTAATGCCTAGGATGTTGTGGAAGACCAAGACCTGCTATAGACAAAAAGCACCACATGCCAACTCCCGATGGGATTCCTTTCCAATAATGCAAAGCCCTCATGGTGGACACCAGGATCGCTTATTCCTTCGTTAGTTCCTTACATCGGTCTCTTAGAATACTGTAGGAGACAGCATGCAGTTGGCACTCGCACTTACGATTTAAGAGGAAGTAATGTTAAAGAATCATAGAAAAAAAGGAACTTGATTCATTTTGTTGTGCAGTGGAAGTAAAGAAGGCCGGCTGCCATTATTTAAATCCAATGTCATTTTAAAAATAAGGTAATCATATAGTGTTCCCTCATGAGAATGTTACAGTACTAAAAAAAAATCTGTATAAGACTGTGTTCTTGACAATCAAATAGGAGCAGCGTACCATTTATCATCTGAAGATTCTGCCAAGAATGTGATCATGAAACCATATGGTCTTAGATATCTGTATGTGATATTATTTGCACATATATATTTCAAACAGTATGTTTTGCTATTTTGATGTTATAACTAAAATGAATTTTTTTTAATATGGTCATCTTAGGCCTTCCAAAAGGAGTTGGGGAAGAGGACCAGCAGTGTGCAGGCCCTGAAGCGCTCGGCCCGAGAGCTCATAGAAGGCAGTCGGGACGACTCCTCCTGGGTCAAGGTCCAGATGCAGGAACTCAGCACTCGCTGGGAGTCCGTGTGTGCACTTTCCATATCAAAGCAAACACGGTTAGAAGCAGCCCTGCGTCAGGTAAAAGCCACGTACAAGATGGCTGGGGGGGATGGCAAAAGCATTGAAACCTTAACAAGAACAGCTCTAGTAAGAACTGTGAGGCACTCATTTCTCAACCAGGACAGTGATGAAAAAGGAAATTCTAGTAGTGTCATCATTGCCTTGATTCTTCCTCATCCTCAGGAATTTAATTTACACACAAAGGGAGAATTTCTTAGCTTCACAAGAAATTGCTGCTTGAACAATGTTTGAGCTTCAAAGTGTGCTGGGCTGGTGGGCTGCCATCTACCTGACATCAAGTTGTTCAGATGGTGATTTTTTCTTCTGAGAGGACTTTTTGATATATTCGATGTGTTCTTACATTTGTAAAAGGCATAGATCTTTATCTTTTAAATGGGAGTAATGTATATAATTGACAATTTAAATTTAAGGGTGTTTTTGATTGAGGGGAAGACTCTATAGTCCTGTGGATTTTGCTAACAGGCATATTTGGGGATCTTGTTTGGGATTTGTGTGTGTGTCTGAACCATTAGGCAGAGGAATTCCATTCGGTGGTACATGCCCTCTTAGAGTGGCTGGCGGAGGCAGAGCAAACCCTGCGTTTCCATGGTGTTCTCCCAGATGACGAGGATGCTCTCCGGACACTCATTGATCAGCATAAAGTGAGTAATATATAAATGCCAAGTAAAACTAAATGAGAAAATTAAACAAAGCAGGGAAGATAGACTCATGATTACAAATATCAGCTTTGTGAATAGTTTCCTTCATAAGGAATATTTAAATCCCTGGGACATTTGAAAATTTATCTCTTTCCCTTTGCTTGCATATGTGTGTTCCCAGGCACCTACACACATGTAAGTATAGCTATCTTACTACATGTTCTTTTTAGAGAAGGTGGTTATTCTAAAATTAGTCTTACTACTTCCTATCTCTAGGAAACACATTTACTTTTCTCGGGGGTTATTGGGCTGCTGACCAAAATTGGTCAATTTTGTTGTACTTTTGTGTAGATTTCTTAAAAAAACAAAAGCTTTCTTAATGAGCAGTTTGGCATTTATAAAATTGTACCAGGATAATTGCAAATTAATAATTGTGACCTTTGTAAGAAAAGCAAGTAATTTAATAACTCATCTTTAAATTTTATTTTTAAGCCTCTGCTTCTTCTGTTTTTAATCAAGAGCCTTTAAACCTTATTAGAAGTAATCAATAGTATAAATTATACATTTTAAAAAATGAATCCCATAAGAAGATATACTGTTGAGTAACTAACCAAGTAAAAATCTGGCTCTGGCTCTGAATTTTCAAATCAAGATCTTTCCTGCAGCAATTCATAGAACTTGGGCCAGACAGCTCTTAACAGATGTTTTTTAACCTTTGACTCAAAAAATCAGGAATTTGAAATGGTAATGCTCAATGTAGTGTTGATGTCAACATTGTCTATTAACTTTAAAGGATCTTTTTAACACCACTAAATAACTCTGTCTTTTGAGGTCAAGTTGGAAAAACATCATTAAATCCATTGTAGCATGGATTACATCATCTGTAGAGACTTTTTATTTTAATCAAAGATGGGTTGTTTAATCTGTAGCAGTGAAATACTGCCTTGTCATTTAAAAAGCCGTGGAGGCTTGTACAGCAATATCTAGAGGGATGAAATGCTATAGATACCATTTAAGTTTGAAGCTAGAATATAAAAATAGGAAAGTTACATAAAATTTATTATAAATTTTTATTCGGTTAACATTTTGAAAATTTCGTTTATATTATTATATTGCTGTGGACTGACCATCAGCCAGCATTGAGTCCCACTAACATACTTGGGTTTAGGTAGCAACAAGTATCTACTCAATGCCCCTTAAAGCTGATAATGCATACCTAACACCCTACAGAAAGGAGCCTGTCTATAGTACCACCACCCTCTCAGCAGGGCCAGGAAGCCCCTAAGGGGCAATTATCCATCCAGAGCAGGGGTAGTGGCTTTTACAACAAATTATTTTTAATTGCCTTTAATTTTATGTATACTATTGCCTTTAATTTTATGAAGTACTTTATAATATTATGAAGTACTTTATAATATTTTGAAGCAATATTTTTCATTTTCTCTCCTTTCCTTCTTCCCTCCACACATTCACCCTTCACCAATCAAAGAAAAACAGAATATTTAATTTGTTAATGCCAGGATTAGAGACTTCTTAGTATAATCCAATTTCTAAAAATGGCAAGCTTTCCTGTGGGAATACAGATCACTAAGGTAACTGGAAGATCACAGAACACAGTGGGGAGGGGATGGTGTGGTCCACTAGATTTGGGGCATGAACCTTGGCTCTTCTAGAAAGACCTTGGCTCTTCTAGAAAGCATACGATACCTATTAGCTATTCTCTGGGAAAACAGAGCTGGTATATTAACCAGTCTTTCTCTTCCTGGTAAAGTTGTGGGTTTTTTAACTTTTTCCACATAAAAAGATCTGTATTGGAAAAAATTATAATTTTTTGATATATTTTATTTTAAAGGTGTGGGGTACAATTCAGGATTAGGTATACAAGTGGACATCATACAGGTAAAGTTTTGGTCTCCCGTTGGTCCCCACTTTACCTGTTTTGAGATCAGGTACACTTATTGATATGATATTTTTAAAAGCAGGTTATAATATCTAAAAAGTAAGTCATGTTATTAGGGTATATTGTGAATTGAACCTTGACTCCATGGTAGTAAACATGTAAATAAAAGCGCTAAAAAACGTTTATTCAATCAGTCACAGAACTCTTCAGAGCCAAATACTGAGAATACAAAAAAAGAATAAGACACAGTCTTATAATCTTGTGAATCTTAGAGTCTAGTAGATATGTCTATAAATAGTTATAACATAGCAAAATGCCACAGTAGGAGATATATAACACCTGCTTCATAAAAGTTAAAAACCAAAGGTCATGTTATAGATAAACACATATATTTTTTTATTTTTAAATTTTAGATTCAGTGAGTATATGTGCAGATTTATTACATAGGTATATTGCGTGATGATGAGATTTGAGCGTGATACCCAATAGGTAGTTTTTCAACCCCTCCCTACCCTCTTCCTTCCCTCCTCCATTTAAGAGTCCCTGGTGTCTGTTGTACCCATCTTTATGTCCATGCTACTCAGTGTTTAGCCCTCACTTATAAGTGAGAACATGTGGTATTCAGTTTTCTGTTTCTGTGCTAATTCTCTTAGAATAATGGCCTCCAGCTGTATTCACACTCATTCTCTTTTATAACTGCATAGTCGTCCATGGTGTATGCGTGCCACATTGTCTTTATACAGCCCACTGTAGATGGGCACCTAGGTTGGTTCCATGTCTTTGCTATTGTGAATAATGCTGCCATAAACCTGCCAGTGCAGGTGTCTTTTTGGTAGAATGTTTTATGTTCCTTTAGGTAGATACCCGGTAATAGGATTGCTGGGTCACATGGTAAATCTATTTTAGTTATTTGAGAAATCTCCAAACTGCTTCCCACAGGGGCTGACTAGCTTACATTCCCACCAACAGTGTATGAGTGCTTCCCTTTCTCCACAACTTTGCCAACATCTGTTGTTTTTTTTGACTTATTAATAGTAGCTGTTCTGACTGGTAAAGCACTTATATTTTAAAGTGAACACCCGTGTTCACATGAGTATTGCCCACGCCTGCAGCCTCTGGCACTTCATTATCAGTGTGATCAAGTAATCCCTCTTTGGGGTCCAGACAGATTGGGGTAGCTGCCGATACTCTAAAACTGTACACAAGGTTTTGGAAGCATGTCATACTTTTTTAGGGCAAAGGTCCTCATGTTTTAACCACACTGTTAGAGTTCTATGACCTGTGTATCTATGGACACAGCTCTGATGGTAGAAGCTACAATTATGTATGTGAGACATTTGTCAAAAGGTTATTTGAAAGATCATCCTTGACCTGTCAAGGCCTTGTTTGTACTACTTGCCTGGCTAGAACTACTGGAACTGCTGAACAGATGAGAGAGGCTCTTGGTGACCATTTAAAGGGACAGTTCTCACACGGGCAGACCTGTTGTCAGGCCCACTCCCTTCAACCTTCCCTTACACCTGGACACTTTGGGCCCTCTCTCCCACATGCTCAAACATGGTTCCTTACCAGACTTTCTCTCTTCTTGGTACTTTTTTGCTGCATATTACTTTCTTTCCTGGCACAGTTAATCCTATTTTAAATACTAACCTCCTTATCTTGTTGAAACTTTTTTTAGTTTTTGGGCACTCGATATTGTTTCTATCTCTGGCAATACTGTCTCTTCCAATCCTATTCTCCGTTAGTAAAATAATGATAATGTATCCAAAGTTAGTAGTTTTTTTTTTTAATTTATTGTTTGAGACAGGCTCTCTCTTTGTCACCCAGGTTGGAGTGCAGTGGTGCAATCATAGCTCACTGCAGCCTCATACTCCTGGGTTTAAGCAATCCTCTCACCTCGGCCTTCTGAGTAGCTAGAACTGTAGGTGTGAACAACTGTGCCTGTCTTTAGAGTTATTTTTTTTTGTACTATATTTTTAAAGCATAAGATATTATCCTATACAGGCATCCCTCTGCATCTATGTATTAAACCAACCTCAGGTTGAAAATAATTTGAAAAAGAAAATAGATGGTTGTGTCTGTACTAATCATGTACAGGCATTTTTTTTCTCATCATTGTTCTCTAAGAGATACAGCATAACAACTATTCACATAGCATTTACACTGTAGATATTAGTAATCTAAAGATGGTTTTACGTATGTGGGAGGATGTGTATAGGTTATATGCAAATACTATGCCATTTTATATGGTGAACTTGAGCATCCATGAGATTTTAGTATTCGTGGGCGTCCTGAAACCAATCCCCCAGAGATTCCAATGAATGATTGTACTTGTATTTTGATATACATATTAGAAAGTACCTTATTGCTCTGACAGCCAAATGAACATCACCAGAGTTTTGTATTCAGCCAGTGCCAACAGCTGATTGAAGTCCTTCGTTTCTGCTGTAGGAGTTCATGAAGAAACTGGAAGAAAAAAGAACCGAACTGAATAAAGCCACCAGTATGGGCGACGCTGTTTTGGCTCTCTGCCACCCCGACTCCATCACCACCATTAAGCACTGGATCACAATCATCCGGGCCAGGTTTGAGGAGGTCAGTGTGTCTCCGATCATCTTCAGAGTAGCAAGAGTTTTGAGAGTTGGGGGGTGTGCGAAATTCCGGGAATTGAGATGCACTTATGACCATAGGAAAATGGTCTCTACATAGAAAATGTTCTTGAAAATACCTTTCTTGTGTGCATTACCAGTCTCTGATGAACTTTTCTTTAAACAGTGAAAGGAATTTTGCATCTATATCCCTGCAACACTAAAAGGCAAATATTTAGTGCACTGTGTAACATATTGTCCCACTTCCGCATTATGTGTGTTGAAAAATCCAACAGTTGAGGAGGGTTTTGAATTGCTATTGGCGAAGTAAATCTATTTTCTGTTGAAGATCTTAGCCTTTCTTATTTCTACTCTGTGCGGTGTGGGATAAGCATACTTGGTGCTTCAGCGAATGCATATCTGAGCTTACAGTAGAAAGCAAAAGGAATCCTGGGTGATTGACATACATCTTTAGATTCTGAAGGTGATGACTATCCTAGAGGGATCCCATAACCTTCTCATGCTGGGTCTTGGGACCATTAATGGGATCTAGAAAGACTAGAAGCATTATGGGTCTCGCCCAGGATGATCCTAATTTACATGTAAAATGTATTTATTTTACATCAATGCAATTATTCACTAAGTTGGAAGAAATTCAGAGAAATGTCTGTTTCTCTCACAGGTGCTGGCCTGGGCAAAGCAACACCAGCAGAGATTAGCAAGTGCTCTCGCGGGGCTTATCGCCAAGCAGGAGTTACTGGAAGCTTTGCTGGCTTGGTTGCAGTGGGCTGAAACTACACTCAGTGAGAAGGATAAAGAAGTCATCCCCCAGGAGATTGAAGAGGTGAAAGCCCTCATTGCAGAACACCAGGTAAAATAAACATAACCCTAAGCCCTGCCAGCCATTGTTTCAGATGTTTTCCTTCTTTCATTGTATGCTTCTCCAAACATGGCTTTGTGCTTGTTATTTTCACTTCTCTAGACATATTCCTCAGCTCCTTACAACTGCCTTTCTAGTTCTCCAGCTGCCCTAAAACCTCTCTTCACAGTTACCCTCTGTGACCTTAGCAGAACTCGTTCCTCCTTTGGCCTCTGGGAAGTTATGCTCATGTGTTTCTGTCTCACCTTGGCCCCTGCTCTGCCTCTTGCCTTCTAAATGTCAGCTCTCCTTACTCCTCATGTTGAATCGTCAGGTCTCCACTCCTTGCACTCTGCTCCCCCTTTTGTTGGTCTTATTCACCCCCATGGCTTCAACAAGTACCATGTTGTACTGCTCTGTTTACATTTTTATCTGTCTCCTAAGATGACCATCAATACTCCAAATACATCATAGCTAGAAAGGAATGTGTTCTCTATCTCAAGAAAATAACTTCTCCTGTGATATTTTACTTGCTTTTAAACTCAGGTGTTGATATCACACTCATTCTGATTTATTTGACTGCTTGTTAGTTTGTTGAATATGCATTTACAGAGAGAAACAGTGTCAACTCAGTTGGTGAAGCAGTTCACATTGCCTACCACTATTATATTTTAATAAAAGTCTAAGACTTTTTGTCAATAATGGCCCTAAGTGTCTCAAGTCATGCTCCCTGTGATCAGAGGTATTAAAGTGGTCCGAATTCTCCAGTGTGACAAATATTCCAGAATTGTGTCACTTTACTTTTCGCTTTTGTCTGCCTCTCTTTTTTCCATCAGTTTTCACAGTCTCTGCCTTTCCTCAGCCTTTGCTACATATTGCAGATGTAGGGATACCTGGTTAATAGTAATAATAAACCTAAAGAGACTAGATATGCAATGGCAAGATAGTTAAGCCTTTTAAATATAAATGTAGTAAACTGTAACTCGGATAACTTTTGCCATTCTTGGAACAGCTTATTTATGAATATTTTGATATATTCACATTTAGTGAATTGATATATTCACATTTAGTGATTCATTATGTCGCTTTATGTCAAAGTCACCTTATAAGTTTCAAATATGTAGGTGAAATGTGCAGCAGAAAAGTCCCAGGAAACACCCTACCAAACTAGTTTCTTTGCAGACAAATGATCAATAAAGATTCTTCTGACTAGGTGTAGTGGCTCACACTTGTAATTCCAGCACTTTGGGAGGCTGAGGTGAGAAAACTGCCTGAGCCCAAGGGCTTGAGAACAGCCTGGGCAACATTGTGAGACTTTGTCTCGATAATAAATCCAAAAATTAGCTGGGCGTGGTGGTGTACACCTGTAGTTCTAGCTACTTAAAAGGCTGAGGAACATCACCTGAGCCCAGCAGGTCAAGGCTGCAATGGCTGTGAGCATGCCACAGCACTCCAGCCTAAGCAATAGAGTGAGGCTCCAACTCAAATATATATATTTTTTGGAAGAATATGGAAGGTTGAGCTTAGTTGGTGCACAGACAGGTTATTTTATTCACATGACTATTCTCAAGTGTGATCTTCAAACTGAAACAAATTATTTTTAATTTGAATGTACTCTTTACCAGCTATAACATTTTGCATTCTTGAGAAATTAGTAAATGCTGTATTATGATGATTTAGACTTTTTTCCCCTAAGGATAAAACATTAGGATGTATTCTTTCTTCAAAAATAACAGTTCTTTTCTCCTTCTGCTTTTGGTTCATTTCTAAACGTGGCTCTCTCAGGTATATTTTTATTTAATTGACATCATTTCTTTCATTTCAGTCCTTCATGGAGGAAATGACCAGAAAACAGCCTGATGTTGATAAAGTCACCAAGACGTATAAGAGGAGAGGCGCTGATCCTTCTTCCTTGCAGTCGCACATTCCAGTCTTGGATAAGGGACGAACAGGAAGTAAGCAGTGGCCTACATTCTTTAAAATGCAGATGGTTAAACAGGGAAGCTAGTTTTCTTTTGTTTTGAGTTACTGTTTGAAATTTGGGGGCAATTGGTGATTCTCCTTGAATGCTCAATTTTCTTGAAAGAATACATGGGCTCAAGTATTATAGCAACTTGTTCAAAAATAAAAAAGATATAGTCAGGTTTCTGTATTTAATTGAGCTGGAATAAATTGGAAAAATTTGCAAGAACAGAAATTATTACCTCCTTTAACTATTTCATTTTTCTTTTTTCTTCTATTATATAAATAACACTAAAGCTGAACATTTAAAAATGGCCATGACCTGAGTAAAGTTCATGACCTAATTGTCCATTAGTGACCAGCAATCTGATAGCTTTTGCCAGCATCCACATGACTGCAGCTCTATTTACTTCCCAAGCTACCTTAACCCAGTGAAATAAAGCTTGGAGAAGACTTAAAGGAAACACAATTTATGTGGTATGTTTTGTGTATTTATGAATGGAAATACATTTTTTGTATTTCTTAATTTTTTAATGAAAAGATAAAGTGGTATCAGAGCTGTGGTAATGACTGTTTTATACAAAGGGATAAAATAGCAAACAGGTGAAGGCTCCGAAACCAGACTCCTTGGCCATCTCCACCTCTTACCATTTGGGAAGCAGCACCCTGGACAAGTTACTTAAACTCTGTCTGAACCTCGATTTCCTCCTCTGTCAAAGGGGATAATTGTAATCTCACTGAACTGCAGTGAGAATTAAATGAGCTGATGCATATGAAGTACTTAACATACGACCAGATATATAGTTAAATGCTGAATAAATATTAGTTATTAATATAGATCCTAGCTTGGACATCTAACATTCTTTATGACCTTAGGCCAGTAATTTTTCTAGGCCACATTTAACCATTTAGTTAGCTGAGGAAAATGTGTTGGGATAATTGTTTTGTGAAGTTATAGACACGTGTGAAAAGCAACCAGAAAGCAGGAGGAAACTTCAGTAAGGCAGTAAACTCCTGTATGAGAATATGCACAGGAAACTTGCAGTTTCAGTAGAAATGTCCTTGGGCGAAAGCTGGAATTCTACCCACATGCTTCCAGATTCAAGTGGGATTTTTGAAGCCTCTTACTCTGGACCCTCATGACTGGCCAGCGTTTCCTGCTCGCCCCTGCTCCCCCTTTCTGCCTTATTCTCTAAGAAGGGCAGCTGGGTTTGCTGTAACTGATTCTAAGATATATCCCACTGCCCTGGGAGAGTTCTTTAATCTTGGCTCAACAAAGAGGAAACTCACAAGGTGCTTCGTTGTCATTGAAACGGCCTGGATTTTAAGCTAGAATATGTTTTAAGCATAACCTTCTTGAGAACACTTTCCAATATTTAAATATTCCTGTCAAGATATAGTTCTCTAAATTACATGAACAGTGTGTGATCCTTAATAAGTAAAACAGATTTGGACCTTGACATTACATATCCTCTAAATTGGGATATTTTTACTTGTAATACCCAATAATGAAGTTGATGCAGGGACAAAAAAAGGTCAAGCCTGAACACAATTCAGAGCCCTGGAAACTGCCATCCTAATTAAAGTTATATTTTAACAGGAAAACGCTTCCCGGCATCAAGCTTGTACCCCTCTGGATCACAGACACAAATCGAAACCAAGAATCCCAGGGTTAACTTACTGGTGAGCAAATGGCAGCAAGTCTGGCTCCTCGCGTTGGAAAGAAGGAGAAAGCTCAACGATGCCTTGGACAGGCTGGAGGAGGTTAGGACACTTAGACAGTCGTCACCACGTTGTCATTTGCCCTCTTCTGTCATAGCACATTGCCAAGATCTTGATGTTTTAAAAACTTTTCTGATAATAGATAGGTAAACTCCTGCTGTTTGAGTTCATGTTTTACTTCTAAAATGAATACCACAAGTGTATATAGTTTTGTGAAAAATGTATATTTTATTTGCTTAATGTATATCTTTATGGGATTGGGATTGTATTTGGGATTTGGATTTAGGAACTCACTCAAGTAAGAAAAAACTATTATGTTTTAACTATCAGAAGCCGATTGCTTAAGAAAAGATCTAACTTGACATCATGTTTGCCGGTGGTCCTACCTGGCAAACATTGTCACTTAGAATTCAGATCTTTTAATTATGTATATTCTGGGACCTAAGATTTAGAGTTTTAAATTCTGCAACTGGGACATTTTAAGAAGTCTAGGAGAGTTAAGAGAGTGCTGGCTAGGGTGTAGGGGAGACAGTGCAAGGGATAGGTAAGTTCTATTGATCTGGACCCGAGACCAGTGACTGTGACCAGTTGTGGCCCTTAGGGGCAAACCACTTTTGTGACTTTGGCATTAACCGGAGTTTTTCAGTTTTAAGTTTTTAGGAGTTTTGTTATCTTTTTGTTTTTTGTTTTTTTGAGCTGGGGCCTCACTCTGTTGCCCAGGCTAGAGTAAACTGGTACACTCTCATGGCCGCCACAGCCTCAACCTGCTGGGCTCAGGCAATCCTTCCACCTCAACCTTCCAAGTAACTGTAACTACAGGTGCATGCCACCATACTCAACTGATTTCTTGATTTATTGTAGAGATGAGGTCTCGCCATGTTGCCTGGGCTGGTCTTGAACCCCTGGGCTCAGGCAATCCTCTCGCCTCCACCTCCCAAAGTGCTGGGTTTTCAGACAAGAGCCAGGGAGTTTTATTTTCAAAGAAAAGTCAGTAGCAAAAATGAAATAAACTTTAAAGAGAAAATATTTCTGAGTCCCCTTTGCAAGACCATACCTTATTTTTGAAATGCAAAAAAGATGTGTGTATTACCAGAGAGTCATTGGAAAAAATGCATTCATGTAATAGTATAAGATGTAATTGGGGCATGGGATTAACTCAACCAAAATACCTTTTGTCCTTTCTAGCTGAGGGAATTTGCTAACTTTGATTTTGATATCTGGCGCAAAAAATACATGCGATGGATGAATCACAAGAAATCTCGAGTGATGGACTTCTTCAGGAGAATTGACAAAGATCAAGATGGGAAAATAACACGACAGGAATTTATTGATGGGATTCTTTCCTCAAGTAAGTCCCCAGGGAGGTGACTGTAACTGATGTCATTTTTAAAGAAAACAAGCGCAGTTTAAAACCATGGGGCCAGTAAACATGTGTTACTAATAAAGCATTGCCTTTAAACTTGGCTATGAAGTCGTCACCCTTAAAGAATATCTTTGGTAAAATGTATGGCTTTAGCATCAGGCACACTTACTAATTATGTGACCACCAGTACATTTCCTCTATTGAAACTGTGTCCTAGTTAGTATAATAAAGTTAATAATGTGTGGTTCTTTGGGTTTTTTGCTTGTTTTGCCTGGCATATACTAGGAAGTCAGTAAATGCAAATCCCTTTCTTTTTCATTCTAATTTACATTCTTATCTAACGTTGTCATTAGCAAGAGATTAGAACTCTAAAAATTCTAGCTGGGTGTGGTGACTCACGCCTGTAATCCCAGCACTTGGGTGACTGAGGTGAGAGAATTACTTGAGCCCAGAAGTTCCAGACCAGCCTAGGCAATTCAGCGAGACCCTCTCTCTTAAAAAAAATTTAAAAATTAACTAAGCTTAGTGGTGTACATCTGTAGTCCCAGGTACTTGAGAGGCTGAGGAGGGAGGATTGCTTGAAGCTAGAAGTTCAAAACTGTAGTGAGCGATAATTATGCCTCTACATTCCACCCTGGATGACAGAGTGAACCCAGACTCATTAAAAAAAAAAAAAAAAAAAGGTATTTGTCACCTTCCTGTTTGATGGTTCAGTTATTTGTATGTGATTTCCCTAACAACTGTCACTAGATGTCATTCTTAAAGTAAATTTCATGTAAGTTATTCTTGGAGTAGTAGTCGAACCATATACAGTTGTTGGTGATAAACAGTTTTTAACTACAAAAACAGTGTTTTCACATGATTCAACCAAATAGAAATAGTAAGTTTGGATCATGTATGCAGCTGTTCATTTGTTATGATGTAAATCAGTTTTTTAAAAAGAATTTTAACACATTTGATCATCGAGATAGTTTAACCAGCCACACTGAAAATAAAATGTGTAATCAAGAATGTCTAGAGGCAGAATTAACAAGGTACACCATTATTATTGTTTTGATAATTTTAGAGTTTCCAACCAGTCGCCTGGAGATGAGTGCAGTGGCAGATATCTTTGACAGAGATGGTGATGGATATATTGACTACTATGAATTTGTAGCAGCCCTTCACCCAAATAAAGATGCATATAAACCTGTCACAGATGCTGACAAAATCGAAGATGAGGTACTCATTATTCTTCCACTGCCCACAACAATAATATTGTGTTCTGCCAGAATATCATGTACAATGCATACTTCCATTTTATTTGTATCCATTTTATTTATTTCCACTTTAGTTGTTGTGTCAAAGTTTTAAGGATTCCACTGTGTGATAGTAACATTAAAGTGAATTATTTCATCATTGTTTTTGGCAGGTGACAAGGCAGGTAGCTAAGTGTAAATGTGCAAAACGATTTCAAGTTGAACAGATTGGTGATAACAAATACAGGGTAAGTTTTCAAAATAACTTTGTAATTCCTTTAAAGAATATAAATTGAAATTTTGTATACAATTTGATCTGCATTGTTTTCCAGGAATTCTAATTATTTATTTTTCCCTCATATCAAAATGTAATGGTATATGAAACTCCTAGCTTTTATCATTCTAAAGTCTATCAAAGTAACCTGCATTTTGTATATTAGGGCATAATTTTGACATTTACAACATGCACATTACTTTTAAGAGAAAATTATTCACAGAAAAATACTCAAATTGCATACATTTAGGTTGTTTCATATTACTTTATATTTTATTATGACTAGAGGTAAGTTTTTAGATTTCAAACCACAAAGCTATTCTAAGCCAAAACCACAAAGTTAAAAAATATTGACTCATTGTTATAAATATGAAAAGAGGCAATGTTTTTTCCACGTGTGCAGTATTTTTTGCTTTTATTGAAAATCTCAATTAACTTAGTTCACCCTCTTCAAAACAGAGGAACAGTGTGACTTCATCACTCTTTGTCTATTTTTTTCCTCTTTTTTGGAACATCTCTTACAAGTAGTAGCTAGACCAGAAATGTGCCGTGTTTCCCTAATACAGTGTTACTTATAAATTAAACATTATTCATTTTTATGCTTTCACATTAAAAATATTCATCTACCTATTCAAATTTTTTAATTAAATTTGAAATCCTGCTATGTTCCAAAAATTTCAGAGAGAAAATTTTCTGATGATTTGATTTAAAGTTGGGACAACCGGGTACCTGCACATTTCTAAACTAGACACTACGTCCAGAAGCCCAGAGTGTGAGTGTGTGTTCTAGAATCATACAGAAAGTTTCCTGTTGAACTAATTGTGTCTTTCTTCCATTTTTTCATTTTTTTTATCAGTTCTTCCTGGGAAATCAGGTATAAACTAGTGGAATGTATTCTCAAGTTCCCAATGATTTTTTTTTTAACTTTAATTCATAGTCATTAAAGCTTGCCATGGCCAATCTTTCCCATGCTGTCTCCCTAGCTACTACATTGTTGGTTGGCGTGGTGTTTCTGTAAACGCTATAAGGGTCCTTGGTCCAGGATTCCTTTCCGCCTTGTGTCTCAAATGAGGAGATTACTTTTAAGCAAACCAGATAATGAATTGTAGCTTGGCTCACTACGGTGTTACCAATGCAATTTTCACTTCCCACTTTTGATAATACTATTAGCATATATTTTACACAAGTACTCATTGGAACACAAATTTGATTCTCCACACATCTCTGTGTAGCCTCCTTGGTGTTTAACTATTGAGGACATGTATACAGTGACAGAGGATGTTCAGTGTCGGGGAGTAACACGGAAGATAGAGTTGAGAAGTGTCTCCAGGACACTCACCACAAGTAACGTTCTCTCTCCAAAGTAGCTATTTGCTGTTTGTTTAAAAGCATTGATTTGACTTAGGACTTTGCATCCTCTTAATAAAAGCATGAACCCTGGAGGTTTTAAGTGATGTCATTCCTTCTGAAGAAAATTATTGCTGTAATTGATACAGAATCATAAAGTTGCATTTTATGCCATTTTGACCAAATGCTTCTGTGACACTTAAGTCAATATCAACTGTCTAGTTGATCAGAATTTTGAAACTAAAGACAAGAGATATTATGCTTTGATTTAAATGTGTTAAAGAAGATTTTTTTTTTTTTTGAGTTGGAGTCTCACTCTGTCGCCCAGACTGGAGTGCAGTGGCCGCTCCCGGCCACCGCAGCCTCGAACTGCTGGGCTCCGGCGATCTTTCCACCTCAGCCTTCCGAGTAGCCGGAATTATAGGCATGCGCTACCACGCCCGGCTGATTTTTTTAAAATTTATTGTAGAGATGAGGTCTCGCTGCCCAGGCGGGTCTCGAATCCGCAGGATCAGGCAGTCCACTCACCTCAGCCTCCTAAAGGCACAGGATTACAGGCTGAGCCACTGAGCCCAGCTAAGAAGATATTTTTAACTGTGTGCTCTTGGAAAGAACGGTGCTATCTATAGTACCTGACCACATTACATTGGATATTATTCTGCCGCTCGTTTTGAAGCTATATTATATCTCAAGCATCACCTTATCCTCATTTATTACAAGAAACTAATTTGTTTAAAATAGAAATATTTGGTTACTTTGAAACTCCCTTTAGTTATACTGTAATACATAAAATATTGCTTTTCCATTCCTGTCATTTTATCAATCAGCAAATTAGATAGCACCTTTTCTTTGTGGACAGGATGAGGGAAATAGCTCAAGAGGTTTATTCACTGAAAGCAAAAACCACAACATTAGTCTATTTTTTTTTCTTATCTAATGATTTGGCTACTGGGAAAATTTAGGGAAATTCTGAAGACAATGTTAGTTGTTTGGAGAATGCCTTCTTAAAATAAAATTGAAATCATTCCTGCTTGTTAGAATTGAAATATCGTCTCTATAAGTGACTTTTCATGTCCTTAACACTTTTGTTTTGAGCATAATCTTGGACCAAAATTACCCGGTCCAATTATCTGGTTCCTTAAGAGTAATTTTCTTCAAATCCCTGTCTTTCCCTTTGCTTATTAGCAGCACCAAATTTTTTCTAACAAAAACAAATACATATTTTTAAATTTTAATTTACATTTCAGGAGCAGGTTCAAGTATAAGAAAGTTTACATCTCCATGTTTAATATCAGATAGAAATAGTGATCGTAAAAGGTTTGGTGGAAAACACATGCATTCCTGCTGGTGCATTTCATGTGCCTTCTAGATCCTTCTGAGTTTAGGATCCTGAGTGGGATTTGGTTGGCTTTGGTATAGGGTTCTCCTGAAGCTCAATGGTAAAACTTCTTGAAAAGTAGCATGCTGTTTCTACTTAAAGTTTTCTGTTTGTCCATAATGAGCTCAGACAAGTAGTCAGTCACAATTGTATCTTACCTGCTTTAAAAAGAAGCGATTTATGTTTAATTAACTTTATTTTGTTTTGTTATCTGCTAGTCTGGTGGTTTTTATAAGTTGAGCATTAGCCTATTAGAAATGATTGAAAACTATAAAATGATTTCTCATAGGCTTTCAAAACAAATAAGTGTGTGATCAGAAACTACCTGAAATCTAGAAATTTATTCAGGACTTGTAGAATTTGTAGGGTATCCACGTTATTGGATATCCATTGAAAAGGCAAAAAAAGGATGATTGCAGTTATGGTCCAGACCATTATGAATTAAATGCTTTTAGATTTGGAAACTATATCATTAATAATTTTTCAGTGACTATTCTAATATTACAATAATCTAAAATGGCATATTAATCTGGCCTTTAGCAAATTGGTTGACCAGATCATTAGGAATGCAAAAATTTTAGTTAACTGTGAAATTTTTGAGTCATACTCATGTATCACTTTATTCTCCATAAGTCAGACCTATTTTTAGAGAAAACAAAATGAGCTTATGAAATATCACCCACAGATTTCAGTGGAGGACAGTTGTAATGTAAGAGGTAGTTATAATGAAGAGGATTCAAGGCTTACTCAATTTTCTTTAGAATAACCTTATTTTGTATAAGTCCTAGACAAGTGCTTATTCTCATGGCTGCACTTAATTTCTACAAACATTTATTAATTACTACCTTACTAATGTTGTATTTGTCATAAGAAAGAAAAACAAATTTTAGGCCGAAATTTCAATATTATACTTGATAACCTTTGTAATTCCTTTTTCAAACTATTTCCCTTGGGCTAAATCAGCATGCAGCAGTCTAACGCAGATCATACAAACCCCCTTTTCTGAGATTGTACTAATCGCTACGAACTAAGCAAGAAATTAAAGTCGGTTGCTTAAGCTACTGCAGATTGCACATCATCCTCTAGTTTTGAATTATTATTGACAATTAGAGGTTCTTTCTTTCTTCACCACACAGTTTGGAGACTCTCAGCAACTGCGACTGGTCCGAATCCTGAGGAGTACTGTGATGGTCCGTGTGGGAGGTGGATGGATGGCCCTTGATGAGTTCTTAGTGAAAAATGATCCTTGCAGGGGTAAGGAGATGCTTATGTCAAGATAGCAACATCATGAAGGTGTATCAATTTTGTATTATTTTCCAACATCGAAAACATGTTGGGCATAATTTTGGTCATTTATTCCAATAGTGAATGTTTCACATTGGTCTGTCAGCCTAAAGTTCCCAAAGGACTTGTGGCGGTCATGCAAACCATGTTCTTCTCATTGTTCTTTTTACTTCTCCTGGATATATTTGAAACAGGTGGGTGGGAAGTACTGCAGTAGATGTTCTTTGTCGAGACCCTCCCATCTGTGATTTTCAAAAGCAACGATTATACCAACTGTGGAAAGGATTGTATCTGTCACTATATAGCAAAGGAAGAGGAATGGAAATTAGGCTGATGAAGGCTGGAAATACTGGATAGCAAAAGTTTGAAAGTTAAAGTTTTTATGAAATGAAGGGGAGGTGAGAGAAGCCATACTGAAACATTTTTCAGATAAAAATCAGCTATCTTGACTCTGACTTTAAGCTGCAGTATAGAATACTAAAATATAACCATATAGCTCTCTCCCTAGCCCTCTCCATGTCTACCAGCTCAGGAATCCTAGGTTAGCTTCTAATTTTCCTGCTTCCAGATTCTGCCTTCCACTTTTGAATTCCGAATTGCTTTACATTACAAGCGATCATTTGACTGCAGTTTCTGATTAGGTATCATTTGCTCAATAGGCCATGTTTCTTTATTGAAGAACAAATAAAATTGTTATGATTTTCTCTAGTCTGTGAGCTCATCATAATCCCTTTCAACAAACAAGCAGACAACAAATGTATGTGCTACCCTTGCCTATTTAGGATACCAAGTGAAAGGCCAGGGCTTCTCCAGTGGGCCTCTTGGTTCTGGTGATGGCATCCCAACCTGGTACATGCAGGTGTGTCAGGGTCAGCAGGCCTCTCTACCCAGGCCACCACAGATAGTTATACAACCATATGCAGTATCCCTGCTCTCTGCTGACCAAAAATATACCTGTGAGAGAGGAAATAAGAACAAGGGCTGCTGTTTTATATTTTGAAAATAATGCAGCTTTGTTTATGAAATGAAGAAATTAGGATGTGTGGTGTTCTGTTGGGTTGCATGGAAAAGTTAGCGTAGCCGTGTGGCAGTCTTCCAAGTATGTTTTTCTTATCGAGGCAGACCTTTGAGTGCTTCTTTTTCTGATGCAACTTTTCTTCTAAAATGTGTGCTAAAGCTGGATCTGGGCACCCTTTGCATATTCAACTACTGTACTTTGTTTCTTCTTCTGCTAACAGTTTCTTTAATGTGATTGGTATCCTGTGTCATTTTTTCTAGTTCATCATCATGGGAGTAAAATGTTACGTTCGGAATCAAACTCTTCAATTACTACTACTCAGCCTACTATAGGTTGGCAACCCCTCTCTTTGCCTCCCCCCTCTTTCCTTTTCTCTTTCCTACTTTTACATTCTTGCTTCAATCATTTGTTTTACGATAACATGCTCCATCCATCGCGTATGGCTTAACTCATCCAACTGAGCTGGTGCTTCCAAATTTAAATTCTGACAGTGGGACACACTTCAGGTGTGTTGCAAATGTAGACGTTTTATAAGTGACCAAACACATGCTAACACGCGGCTCATCGGGTTCAGTGGCGTGTTCTTTGTGTGCATATGTGTTTATGTGAGTGCTGCATCACTGATGACCTCACAGATCCTCGGGTCTGGTGTTTGTTATTGCATGTTGGTAAAACAGTTCTTCAAGGTGTAAAATAAAAATACTAGCTGCCTCATTGAAGTGAACAATCTAGAAATTTCTGTGTTGTCATCATGACTAACAAGCCATCTCTCATTCTGTGTAATTCTATTGTTTAATTAATCCCAACATCAAAATACTGGCGTTCTCCTTACCTTGATAGTACATGCAAAAGACACAGCCCCTGCCTTCCTGGCTTGTCTTCTCCGTGTGGTGAAGGGGTAATGACACCGTGTGGGCATCAGTAGCTGGTGGATTAATGAGATTTTAGCATGAGCTTTCCATTTTCATGCTGACACTTTCTTTAATAGTGGTTATTCTTGCTGGTGTCTAGTGTTAGAATAAGCACACTTTTTTTTTTCCTCCCCAAACTCACCTGTATCCAAAACGAATGCATTGTGAAGGAATGCATTTAACTTTTTTGTTATGCTGAGTTGGAGTTGGCATGGCAAAAAGATGTTCTTGAAATTCTCACCGTGCTCTCTGATGGCAGCTGGTGGCTCTTCCCATAAACAATTGAGTGCCTCTTCTTTTTCTTCTTTTCTTTGTGTGCATCATTTGTGTGGATGTATGTGTGCGTGTGCATGTGTGCGTGTGTGTGTGTGTAATCCAGCCAAAGGAAGGACAAATATGGAACTGCGTGAGAAGTTCATTTTAGCTGATGGTGCCAGTCAAGGTATGGCTGCCTTCCGACCCCGGGGCCGAAGGTCCCGGCCATCATCACGAGGCGCTTCACCCAACAGATCGACGTCTGTGTCCAGCCAGGCCGGGCAGGCAGCTTCCCCACAGGTGCCTGCCACCACCACACCCAAGGTAGGACTCAAGGATGAAAGCTTTTCTTCCTACTGTGCAGTCAGTGTCCCGGGTATACTTTTGAATATTTTATTGAGGTCTCTAGAATTTGTAGGACTAAATGCCACCATTTGTATCCCTTCTCACAATTTGAGAAATGAAGGATTTTTTTTTTTTTTAAGTATATGCATTTGTCTAGTGGTCCAAATAGAGATGATCTCTTTAGGGGCTTTGTTATCTTTCAGATTGGTTTTTCTGTTTAAACGTCACTCATTTTTTTGGTGTATATGATTTGCCATCAGATCTTTCCACTTATTTTTAAATTATTATTCTTACTGTGAAATGTGACTCTGTTGTGAATATCTCTTTCTGTGGCTTTGTTTTTTATCTGCTGTCCTTTACATTTGATTTGCCATTGTTCCATACAGATCCTCCATCCTTTAACACGCAATTATGGTAAACCATGGTTGACAAACAGCAAAATGTCAACTCCTTGTAAGGCAGCAGAGTGCTCAGACTTTCCTGTGTCATCTGCAGAGGTATTGTAAGGCCCCAGAGTCCAGTCTTAACAGTCTCCTGTCACTGAAACTACCACCCACTAACACTGCCTCACCACTCCCTTAATATATGTACTGTTGATAATACTGTGCTGTTTTAGACTTCTGTAAAATAAGTACCAACCAAGCAGTCCATAGAAGATGTGAAAGTGAGGGGGTAACAGGAAAGATAGTTTATAGCCCTTTGAACAGTGTCAATTTGACATAGTCACACCTGCAGGCTCTATGCCTCTTTTATTTTTTGTTCTTATTCATACTTAAGTCTGCTTTTATCTCTTGGGAGAGTAAAGTACAGGACATTATCTCCAGGCTTAAGTAACATCTCTTTTAAAATTGATGGTATGCTTTGGCTGCTAGAGGTAATCTAGGCAAAAAAAAAAAAAAAAAAAAAAAAAAATTGCAACTCACCCCCTTTAGACAGGAGTAAGAGGCAAGTAATATTTGCAAGAGAATCATTTAAATTTAAAAAATGTTTATTGAGTGTTTATTATGGGCATGGTCCTTCAGAATTTTTGTTCCATTCATTTCTCCCCCACAATACCAAGTGGTTGTGACATTAGCTCTCGATTATCAGTGCAGGGGCCAGAGGTGTGGGCTTAGGTATACAGGAAATGATCTGTCGTTTTCAAAATCTAATAAATGTATCTTTCTAATATTTTAATAGCTAATGTTATTTAAGCATGCTTTAACTTTTTAATATGGTGTGATATGTGGGGATGATATATTTAGGCGATACAAAATTTGCCAAGATTAACTCATGGAGCAGATCATTTACATTCAATTGAAAGTCAACTATATACCTTTTTCATGAAACTTCTCAGTAAAATGACAAAAACCAGCACTGAATAATCACATATTTAATTAGAATATCAATAATTAGGGGGGAAAAATCCAAAAATACCTTTTCTTGAAATTGAAGGGACTATTTCATCTCAGTGATCAAGAATGTAACTTAAAGTTCAGGACCCAAGTGTAAAAGTAATATAGTAACTTTAAGAAGCCCTTTATGCTTTTCAAATCAGTTTCTTACCTGTTTTTTAACCCTGGCATCAATAATAAACAGTAGGTAGAGAAAAGTTAATTACCTTCTTGACTCTGTGGAAATCGCATTGCTGATAAGTGGGAGAATTAGGACCAAAACAACCCATTCTCTAACATTTCCTCATTTCTTCCTCTTCATGCCCCTAAGCCCCCCCATTTCCACCCTTTCCCACCAAGTGGGCGATGTTAGGATCATATATTACAGGTAGAGATGTCTGTCAGTTATTAAGAATTTATCGTAGCAAAAGCTGAGAAGAGTTTAAGCAACCTCAAGTGACATTTGTTTTAAATATTTAGGGCTGCTGGGCTCGGTGGCTCAGCCTGTAATCCCGCGCCTTGGGAGGCTGAGGTGAGTGGATTGCCTGAACCCGTGGGTTCGAGACCCGCCTGGGTAACTTGGCGAGACCTCATCTCTACAATAAATAACAAAAAAATCAGCTGGGCACGGTAGTGCGTGCCTGTAATTCTGGCTACTCGGAAGGCTGAGGCGGAAGGATCACTGGAGCCCAGCAGGTTGAGGCTGCGGTGGCCGGGAGCGGCCACTGCACTCCAGTCTGGGCGACAGAGTGAGACTCCAACTCAAAAAAAAAAAAAAAAAAAAAATTTAGGGCTATGATGCTGCGTTAGTTCAAATTTTTAAAAATAGAAACTCCATCAAGTTAAAGCCTAAGTATTTTGACTAGTACAAAACTTTCATTTCAAATGACCTCATGAAACAAAAAAACAAACAAATAACAGTATGTTTCTGTGGAAGGGTCTGTGATAATAAAATCCAAACAAGGCGTTCTGAGAAGAACAATTTTGGTTGTTCATAGTAATGAACCCTGGCAGCTTGAGTGATATATTTCATAGTCTGTGGGTTCTCACTATCTCATGGATGGCTGAGATTCTGTTTAAGTTAGGAATTTAACTAGATCAGCATTGTTATATCTTGGGCAAGTCACTTCCTTCCTCAAGGCTTAATTTTTCACAGTAGCAAAATATGTTATGATTAGGTGAGTATGAGTATTTATTGTGGAAAGTATTTTGAAAACATGAGCATTCTGTGTATACAAATCACACACGTAAATACATAAGTATTACATAGTATATATATATGTAGATGAATGATATGAATATTATATACTTTTAATAAGTTGAGATATTAATAACATTAAAATTAATATGGCTCTGATACTCATATATCAAAAAGTCTTACATATGCTCTATTAAGGATTTTACGCAAATAAAGAAAAAGTCAATTAAAAAAATGCACATGTAATTTATATAGATGCAGATTTCCTCCAAACAGCTCCCTGGCTGTGTTTCATTGAGGAAAATGCCATCTCTTATAATTCTCATGATATTTGTTTATTGTTTCAACTTTGGGAGAATTTTCAAAATGTTATAGCAATCTGGAAAAATGGCAAAAATTTTAGGCTTATCATAAAATCTCATAGTTATGATTACTTTAGGCATCTTCTACAAGCTCCTATAAGGACTTTGAAAGAAGTTTCCCCAAATGTCAACCTACATCTCTTGTATATCAAGACTGTAGGAGGTGATAGAGCCAGCAAGAGAAGTGACATGGTACCGAGTTATGAAACATCACTATTCTTTTCACAGTTGAGTTTTTTTTAAAATGATGTCTGTCTCAGCATTATTTATCTGCTTATCATTCTAGCTCTGTTTATTTCTCCTTAGCTCCCTAAAAACAGTGGAGGCAGCAGATGCTCAGGACAGTGAAAAACTGTGCTTGGATTCAGTTTTTCACTGCCCTGAGCCCCCATACACCACATAGTCACCATCTTTTTGACCATACACTCTTGACTCTGTAATATTCACTGACAGTCTGAAAGATACTAACGTACTCACAGTTTAATTTGTCTTTCACCCTTGCCATCGCTGTCATATTCAGTCGGGAATCTCCATTTTTGTGTTTTCCCTTCAGTCATAAATTAATTTCTTTAGAAGGTTTTCTTTACATTCTGAGAGAGAATAAAAAATTAGGGGAAAAAAGCAAGCGAGAACCCCTATGCCTCGTTTAATTGAAAGATTTCTCCCCATCCACCTCCTGAAGAGATCTCATAGAGCGTTTCCACCCGTGTGTCACGAGGTGGTGTTGGTGAAATATCATGTCAGAGGAGCAGTATTTTGAAATATCTTGTCACTGGTTGAATACAGGGAACGCCAATACAAGGAAGCAAGCTTCGACTTCCAGGATACTTATCGGGGAAGGGCTTCCACTCTGGAGAGGACAGTGGCTTGATAACTACTGCGGCTGCCAGAGTCCGAACACAGTTTGCTGGTGAGTGCGGTGCTTTCCTTTTTTTTTAATGGCTTTTGCAGGACGATCATCTGAAGATTAAAGTTCCCTTTTTTCCTCACTGGGGAAAAAATTACAAACTGATACTGCTGTATTCTTTTGAAATAACATGTGGGGACACTCCTTCAGAAAGGTAGGGGATAAATGAGTCATAGGAACAAGTGACTAAAAAAATTCCTTTTGGAAAGAATCAGAGCAAGATGAAATAATCATTGCAGAACAGAAGAAAATATACAGCAGTGTTCTTCCCCTTCAAGCTGAATGGTATTGGCTCTTCTGCCTGCTTAGAGATTGCATGAGTCCCTATTTTGGGTGGTAGGAAAAATTCAGCCATACTGAGCCTCACACCAGTGCATCTCACATTTCTTCTGAGAACGGTAAACCTCCTAAGCCCTGGGTTCTGAGCCCCAGCAAACATGAAGCTTGTTTAAAGTTTCAGGTCTATTAAATTCCCACATTCTTGGACTTACCTATTCTCAGGCAGTACTTCCACCTAAAAAGTTTTCTCCGTGTTTGCGCTGTACATGTCCCCGGGTATACACTAAACTTTAGAAAGTGCAGTCTTAATGACAGATATATTCCTTATATCTGTTTGAAGTAAACACAATCCTATTTCAAGTGGAGTAAGCCCAGACTTACCTTTTGGATGTAAGTCTGTCCTTTTCTGGTTTATGTCTACTTGGAGTAAGGCTACCTACCCTTGTGTAATAGAGAAAGACCAGGAATCCACAAGTGTTTTCTGAGTGCCTACTAGGTGTCAGGAAAAAAAAAAAATCAGAGATAAAAGGTGGCATCTAGTTTTATATCAGTTGCAGGTGGACCCAGCAATAAGGTGCCCCATCTCTGCCTTCTCTCCTCAGATTCCAAAAAGACGCCCAGCCGACCAGGAAGTCGAGCCGGAAGCAAAGCTGGCAGCCGGGCCAGCAGCCGCCGAGGCAGTGACGCATCTGACTTTGACATTTCAGAAATCCAGTCTGTGTGCTCAGACGTGGAGACTGTCCCCCAGACACACAGACCTTCGCCCCGAGCAGGTTCTCGGCCATCCACAGCCAAGCCTTCCAAAATCCCCACTCCCCAGAGGAAATCTGCCAGCAAATTGGACAAGTCCTCGAAGAGATAGTGCAGTTGGTTCCACCAAGGCCCTTCCTCGAGCATTTGTTATTTAAGTTTGAACGATGTAAAATATGATGTAGAAATTCTTGTGAAATATTGCAAGAGGCGAGTTTAAAATTCTGCAAGACTGCCTTATTTGTGTATTTGTCTTTTTATTTTATCTGTATAATTTTTCTTGTCAGATATTCTGAGGTTCAAAAATCACATCATATGTGAGGGAGAAGAAAGAGTTTAACCTGAACTAACATTTCTACACTGTACCGTGTAGAGCACACACTAAAATCAGTTACTGTACCCACAGGTAAGTCTGCATTCTCTCTGACAGCCACAGCACTACATCGAGCGCTAACGTTAAGGATACCTCATGATATTTTCTTGTTTTTATGGAAACTCTGAAAAGCTGAAAGACACAGGGCGTGTATTTTAAGATTATTTAAATGTGAGCTAAAATATGCAAGGCAGAAAGACAAACACATCCACAACAAGTTCTTTCAGCAGTAGCTGACAGAGAACTCACAGGACGTTCCTTCAAGCACTTGCCAGTACTATGGTATTCAAGTACCTGCAGCGTTTCTGTGCCATTGCCTTCAGTGAGGCCAGAGGCATCTGGACATTCGACCTATTATACTGTAAGAATATAATTATCAAGTGCATTCATACACATGTGAGGTTTTCTTTTGCTTGAGTGGACAGTAGCACCTGTATCATTGAACTCATTTTGTATCAAAGCAATTTTGCTTGCAGAAAGCTATGAAATAAAACATGTCCCTTAACTGCATTGCTATGGAATTAATTTTTTTCCCCAGGGAAAAATTAGTGTATTTTTTTATGAGCAATATCAATTTGGAGTGACCAAAAGATACTTTAAAATGGGTTTATTTTGATTTCTCATCTGAAATAATCATGTTCTGGTATTATATCTATCTATATTTAATAAATATATACCTTTTAATTTATTATGTATACTCACATACTATAGAAAGATATTAGTATGCATTTAATAAAACATATTCACTTCAATATATGGAATTCCTGATTATTTAAAGTGGACTTTTTCTGCTGTTTGTTTTAAAATAAAGGTTGTATGTATGATGGGTGCTTACTAAGAGTAAATAGGCTAAATTTGGGGGACATCAAAAAGCAGAGTTATAATAATGTTAACCACTCATTCAACAAATATTTTTAACAAGTACCAGTTATGTGTTAGTCACTGCCTGTGACACTGAGCCTGCAGGGTTCCTGTTCTCCTTTATTCAAAGAGCAATCAGTTAATAAGTAAGTCAGTCACTAAAATCATAAACACGGTGACTCATGCCTGTAATTCCAGCACTTTGGGAGGGCAAGGTAGGAAAATTGCTCTAGCCCAAGAGTTCGAGACCAGCCTAGGCACAACATAGTGAGACCTCATTTCTAGAAAAAATTTAAAACATCAGCCGCACGTGGGGGCACATGCCTGTAGTCCCAGCTGTTCAGGAAGCTGAGGTGGGAGGATCGCTTGAGCCCAGGAGTTTGAGGCTGCAGTGAACTGTGATTGTGCCACTGCCCTCTAGTCTTGGAGACAGAGTAAGACCCTGCAACTCAAAAAATAAATAAATAAATAATAAACCGATATGTAACAGGATGACTGATTTAATTAAGGTAACAGTGGCATTATTCTGGCCTGTGTACATTTTTAAAAACAATTGTAAAATTTTCCTAAATTCAAAAATATCATCAGATATCATTAGGATTGCAGATTGATACTTTGAGCATGACAGGTGCTGACATTTCTGCATAACTTTGTGAACTTATTTTAGTGAGTGGCAGTGGTGGTGTTTGAGGTCAAGGGAACAGTATTATGTTTTTCCTGCTTGGCCTTTTTAGTGGAGGCCAACATTGAAGAACCTGGAGTTTCTACTGGCATAAATTAGGTGCCATTTTTGAGCTACAGTAATCCCTTCTTTGTCAAGGCATGGGTCTCAGGTGGGGACCCCTTGATGGAAAGGGAAATTTTAACCTCAGATCACATGCCATATAGTTCATGCATTTGATTATTAACATATCATCTGAGAAGGCAATTGAAATTGTTTTTATTCCTTTAGTGCTTTGCATGGGATCACATTTCCACTTCAAAGGCAAATTTAAGGCAATGATTCCATCTCAGCCTTTTTGAGTGTTACCCCAGTTAAAGAGTTGGGATTTTGCTTTTTTAGTAGTAAAATAAGATTTTTGAAAAAGATAAGTGGTGTAAAATAAGAGAAGTCTTAAGGAACTGCTCCGAGTTACAGTCAGCATTTGTCCTCAGGGAAAACTTTTCAAACTTTGAGGTGAGACCTTTTTTTTTTTTTTGCTCCTCCTAGAGTTTACTGACTTGGGCTGACTTATGAGGAGTCTTCTGTAAGTTTCTGTGAATGCAACAGAAACACCTTTTCCTCACACCTGCCTTCTCATTTTCTCTCTTTTTTTTTCCTTCATTTTTTTCTTTGAAAAACAACGCGTTAGAGTGAATCTCAACCCTAACAATCTTAATTGGAAAGATTGGATCTTAAGCATTTGGAAAGCTGACTCATGTGCTAGACTTTTTTTGTCTTAAAAATCAAAAGTCCTAAGTCTCCTGTACTGCCACCTTCTTTTGAATTAATGGAGTATCCTTTTTGACATCAGTGCAGAAGTAGAGGCTCGTGGCCAAATCTCAGATATGGGTGGAAGGCCTTAGGGAGTATTCCCGTGGCTGTCTGGGATTGACCTGTAAAATGAAAAGGGAGGAGGAGGAAAAAGGATCTTGTTTCCTTTTTCTAATCATTTTAATCCTTGCTTTCTGTATTTGTAACAAAGGAAATCGTAATGGGATGTGGTTATCTACTCTTTTTTGACAAAGTGCTTTGAAATGCTTGCCCTTTATTGTCAAATGGGGAATTCAATACTATCAAACAGAACATTTCCAAGTGTCTGCTGCTTCTCTGTGTGTGTTGATGACACTGCCTCCTGGAGTCTCACAAAGAAGGCAGAGACACTTCAGCCTTGTCTTTTATGACTTTAGTGACTAAGGTCCTTTTAGTCATGTTGGAGATTGATTTGACCATTACCAAAATCTGCCTGGAAATGAATAGAGTCAGGGACAAGGTGTTTGTGCAAGAAATAATTTGTATGACTATTTAAGATATCTGACTTAACCTACTAAACTATGCAACTTTGGTTGATTTTATGTAACTCTTTTATCTTTGTATATGTTTGAATAACTAGTTAGGGTAAAGGACCAATAAAAATGAGGTTTTGTTTTCTTTTTCCTTGCTACCATTTCCAATATGCTAAGTTAATATATGAAAAGCAAAGTGTGTTAAAATAATTTTATGTTAACTTACCCACACTTTTATTGTACTCCCAACATGGGAAACTGCATATTGGAAGCTACATAGGAGATGAAATTAAACACAGATTAAGACTTGTTCAAACGTTTTTCCCAAATAAAAACAAAATATTCTTTTAGAATGTTACTAATCTTAAAGTACAGCTATTTTTTGCTGCAGGGCAAAGACTTAGAGATTTTAGTTCCCACAGCCTTAGACTCTAACGTCTATGCCAATGACCTCCAGACCTCTTTGTTGGCATCTTCCTCTCAGTAAACATTTTTTGAGCAAACTCCTCTGATGTGTATATATTAACTTCTTCTAAGGTATTATTTGTGTGTATTTTATCATTAGCTAATTTCTCAAGGCTCACTATAATCCTGAAGTCATATTTATATTAATAACATTAATGTACATCCATATTTCAGATAGTCTTGACATTTTTTTTGGCCAAATTTTTGCCAAATCTTATGAGACCCTCTTTGGTTTAAGTTGTGATTTAGCTGATGAAGGACTTGTGCTAGGAGGAAAAGTGTTGTTTCTGCCTTTTCTTATTGTGCATTTGTTTCTTGCATTACAAATCTCTGAAATCCATGATTACTTTGCAAGAGTCTTTAAGCCATTTTTTGTAAAGATTATTTAGTTAAAAAAGAGACAATAAAAATCTGTACATTCACCCAACTTGACATAGATAAACTGGAAACATGAGAGATTGGACTCCAACACTGTGGCTGTCACTGGAGAGATGGCCCAAGTGTCAGTCTGTAGCAAATGTAAATATAAATAGATACCTTATTTTCTTCCCATATTCTATGAGGTCACCTTGCATGCACCCAGTTTTAGAGATCCTTTTTCTATTTTCTATCTTTTGGGTTTTTTTGTTTGTTTGTTTGCCTTTTCTCAACCATCTTTTTCCAGAGAATGAAAGTATGCTATAAAGTTCCATCCTTTCTCTTCTGAAGCTAGTTATGCAAGGATATGCACACCTGTGCTAGCTGTCATATGTGGTTATAGTCCTGATTGTTCTCTGAAAATTCCAGTGTGGGGAGGCTGAGGGGACATGTTAGTTCTAGCCCTTGGTACCTCTCTCTTGCACTACAACAGCTATCTACTGATTTCTTCATTTCCAGTGTCTTCTCCTCTAGATATCATTTTGGAAGAATTGACCTGATGGGGAGGGACATGCCTTTTTATATGAAGGACTGGAAGAAAGAGCATTAAGATGAGACAAGAGATGTTGAGGCAGCTACCCTGTACTGTCTTATTTACTTCTGTAAATTGTTGGCCGGGCATGGTGGCTCAACCTGTAATCCCAGAACTCTGGGAGGTCAAGGCAAGAGGATTGCCTAAAAGCTCAAGGGTTCAAGACCAGCCTGGGCAACTTGGTGAGACCTTGTCTCTACATAATCAAAAAACAAGCCTAGCACGGTAGCGCACGCCTATAGTTCCAGCTATTTGGAAGACTGAGGGGAAAGGATCGCCTGAGCCTTGGCAGGTGTAGGCTGCAGTGGCTGTTTGCATACCACTGCACTCCAGCCTGGGCAACAGAGTAAGACTCCAACTCAAAAAAAAAAAAATAATAATAATTGTTTTCTGCCTGGAGTTAAGGAAAAGGTCACAGATGAAGATATTTGAGGTGAGCAGAGAAGATTTGAAATAGCTGAGGCTGTGGTTTTATAGTTACCCTGATATCCAGGGTGTAGCCTGGCTGAAGGGCAAAGAAGACACAAGTTAGTTAATCTATAGCTGAAGGGTGGCTCAGCCTGTAATCCCGCGCCTTTGGGAGGCTGAGGTGAGTGGATTGCCTGAGCCCGTGGGTTCAAGACCCGCCTGGGCAGTGAGACCTCCTCTCTACAATAAATAAAAAAATCAGCCGAGCGTGGTAGCGCATGCCTTTTATTCAGGCTACTCGGAAGGCTGAGGCAAAAGGATCGCCGGAGCCCAGCAGGCAAGGCTGCGGTGGCCAGGAGCAGCCACTGCACTCCAGTCTGGGTGACCGAGTGAGACTCCAACTTAAAAAAAAAAAAATCTTGTATTTTTTTTTTTATTTTTAGGTTTTGTTTTTTTTTTCATTTATAGCTGGAGTTTTTTTTCATTCAGGCTTAACAGAGCAATGGAAGGGAAGCAGGAGCCATAGGATGGGTTTTAGGGCAGCCAGAGGAAAGGATTTGTGAGGAAGGCACCCTGTGGGTAAGAGTTTGGGTCAGGGTGGTAGAAGGTTAGAGCAGTATACATGAGCACACAAGGAACGAATGCATGACTAAGAGTGACTTATTTTTGGAGTATTATCTAAGGGTTGCAACTGTGAGGCCCTCAGCATTTCGTAAAACATTAGTCTCAGCTGTTCCACGTCTTCATTGATTTGTGTTGTGCTTACAGCGGAACCTGTATGGAGAAAGTAATAATAGTTGGGAACGAGTGATGCAGAGCTTGCCTTTTAGCTGTGGTTGGTTGTTGCTTCAACCTCAAGTAGGCTGGGGGAGAGAAGAGTGTGCGTAGTTCTGGTTTTTCAGGGAGGCAGGAGTAGAATATTTTGGCATATATTTAGATACGGCTTTGGGCAGAAGTTACAAATGGATTACCATAAAGACTACAGTTCTGAAAGGAAGACCACCAGGTGTACAGATAGACATAGCTATATTTTTAATTATCCGGTAGGAAAAAGTTCATTTGTAGAGTGACCAGTCAGTGGATGT